ATATTTGAAATTACCTATCATATTGAGTTTACAACAAAAACTTTAAAATATTTTTAAGCAACATTTTGGGGTATTTGAAATTATTGGTCTCAAGGGAAACCATTCTGTAGGAGTTGGCTTGCTTTCAATCTAAAATAAAAGCTATTTTTTTTTATTTGAATTTTACAATGGCCGTGACTGATATCATTCGATATATAGACACGAATTACATTGATACAAATCTAGCCATTATTGTAATTACAAAGAATATTTTACACAAAGTATCAAGTGTAGCTACCGTGCATACATATAATCTGTTTTAATATCTTGACAGCTGTGGTTATAAGGAAGAAATGTCTGTTATGCTGTTATTGATATTTGTATTACATTTTTGTAAAGCGGTATGTTTTTTTGTTTAAACCTTTCTATAGCTACATTTAAAATAAAATAGACCGTTGACATAGACTTAGTATGTGGGGATGTAAAATTACGGAGCTTATATGACATATGACGTCTTTGACAGTTCGTATATTTATTGACAACTTGACATTGACATATTCGTTTAGAAATTGTTCTTACGTAGGTTAAAAACGTTGTTTTTTTTATCTAACGGGGGGCTCGCCTGATATCACCTTGAATGATACCGCCGCCCATAGACACTAACATACCGAGAGAGCTCGTAAGTGCGTTGCTGGCCTTTTAAAAGTTGGTACGCTCTTATTGAAGGACCCTAAGTCGAATTTGTTCGGAAATACTTAAGAGGGCAGCTGGCTCCACATAGTGGTGGTGCGCGGCAAAAACTGCCTTAAGAAACGCTCAGTTGTTGTGACTCTCACCCCGACTCTTGTGGTGCGGGACCGTATTTTAAACACATATTTTGTACAAATATATATATATTACTATTCCTATTCTATATAGTGTGGGCCCGTCTCGCATCCGCTACGCGTTTGTTTCAGTGAGTGACGCATTTCACTATCTTACTGCAGAAATGTTCCAGTTGCGCTTCTTAATATTTCGGGTAAATTGGTAGTTATCTTTATATCGATTTGTTGCTCAAGATCGCACCTGGAGGCTCCAAATACAGGACATCGTAAGTCACCCTCAGACACGTTAACGCCAATTTTAAAAAAAATGTGCGTGCACTTACATATGTACACACGTTAGAAGTAATACTTTTTTGGCGTAACAAGATAAAAATCTTTTTGAAAATTTTATCTTTCGCCTTATTCTACTTTTGTAGGAAAAACGACACTAACAATAGAAAAAAGGTATTTAATACATTGAAAGTTTTATTATAACGCATTATCTAGTTAAATAAAGTTTATTTAAATATCGCAAAAAATTATTTCTACATAATTAAAGAAATTGACATTTTTTATTTTATAGTGTTGAGTATGCTAACTTCAGGGTGTCGGTTTTTTTTGTGACGGTGTATGCGCGCATCGTAAAAATTTACTCTCATCATTTCTCCCTAACGCGCCAAAAGAAGTATAATCAAAAACAGTATTATTTAATCTAATACATAGATATCTCTGAATCTTTTATAGAATTGTATATGTGATTATAGGTTGCCGGTTTTGTTGTTCTGATGTTTAATTATAATTCCTTCCTTAAAACGATTTTGATAATTTATTCTGATTGACGCACTTTTGGTATTTCCTGTTTATCATATTTATGGACGTTGCTGTTTGTTGTACAAGAATTTGGATTAAATTCAGTCCTGAGTTAGCCCTATGTATGACCCCCGTATATCAAAACTTGTTGTGTTGAATATTACGGAATAAGTTTAAGGAATTAAATATTATGACACTGTCCGGTCAATATATTCATGAAGTATGTACAAAAAAATATAAACGATTTTAAAACAAATGGTGACTTTCACCAGAATAATACGCGAAATAAAACTAATTTGAGTGAACCAATCAGGCTCCAGAAGGTAAACTACTCCTTATATGGAAATTGTATTCGTTTTTACAACAAACTCCCAAGCGAAATAAGAGAATTATCACTAAATAAATTCAAAGCCCTCGTTAAACATAAATTAATCAATAAAGCTATTTATAAATTTGACAAATACTTAAATGATGCTATGCCTTGGGATGGATTTGCTCCAGTTCAAACAATTTGTATGACTCAATACTTATCGATTAAAAAGAGTGGCGGAAAGTTTCTTGCTAGTTCTTCTTACCCGCTCTACGCCCTTGACTTGCGAACTGGTAGTAAATGTAAATTAACAATTAATTTAACTTCTTTTTTACGTTCATAAGTGTACTTGTTTACCTATATGAATAAAGATATTTTGAGTTTGAGTTTACTAAAGATATTGGTCTACCATTAAGTCCTTCTTAGACTCCCTGGACAGCTAAGGAAATCATACTAAATTCACACTTTGTGTTAGCAACGCATCCAGAGTTTTTGAAGTTATACGTCTTTTGGCGCGTTAGGGAAAAATGATGAGAGTCAATTTTTACGATGCGCGCGCACACCGTCACAAAAAACCGACACCCTGAAGTTAGCTAAATATAGTCAACATTTTAGTTTTTACTATTGTTAGTGTCGTTTTTCTTGTTCTACAATAAAAATTTTGAAAAGATTTTTATCTTGTTTCGCCAAAGAAGTATAACTTCTAACGCGTGTACATAAGTATACACACGTTTTTTGACATGTAACACACAGAGATCCTCGTGAAAAACTAATCGTGATTGGCAGAGTTGAGTGCACCATCTCTTACAGGTCTTACCATCACCCGGGCACAGAGGCTTGCCAAAAACTGGGACTGTTTGACTGAAGAAGAAGTAATGAGAAGAAAGAAGACCTAGCGATATTGGGGCGCGGGAAGAGTTCGATTCTTGTCATGAGATGGAATGGGAGGCAAGCTCGAACTTTTCCTGCGTTTCAGTTTCGCGTTATCTACAGAAGAGATGAAGAAGAAAGAAATAAGCACTTACATTTTTACAACGTATTAGAATATTTATAAAAACTGTGTATTTTATTAAGATTTTGTATAATGTATCTGTTCTATTGTGTTAGTTATAATATGACAAATGGTTTACTTTACTAATCTCTACCAAACTAATACTATTTCTATAGAATGTTTTATTATTATTTTATTTTTATTATTGCCTTTATATTACGCCTTTTTCCCGAAGGGGTAGGCAGAGACCACGGATCTCCACTTGCTAAGGTCCCTATCTCTCTCGCTTCATCATGGCATGCTCGTTATGGGTACTTTCAACGTGTCCCTTCTCTAACTCCTGGATTTGGTCTATACGATAAGGACTATCCAACCCGATTTCACCACGGCGTTAGTTTTTATTAAAAAAATTACGACTCTTCAGGACAATAGGCTACAGGAGTAGCGATCTAAAGATTTTATTATCTTATAGTAATTGGGAAATCGTTGGCTGTGATCTGACGGACGGCCAACTTTTCTATAAAATTATTATTCTTAGAACAATGTACAAATGTCATATACAGTCGACCCTAGATTATTTGGAATGTTCAGTCCCTTGAAAAATACTCGATAAATTAAATCAATGTCAATGTGTAAGGAATAGTATCTTGTTCGCTCGCATGCGATATTTTGTAAATAAATAAGTAAATAAAATAAAAAAACAGAAAAATATTTTAAATGGATAGGTAGTGGAATAAAAATTGAGAATAATTAAGTGTTATTATGGGATACTTAAATTCTGGTGTATCCCATATACGTTACACCATTACAACTTTTAACCACATTACTTTATTTAATTGAATATGGGAGGCTAAAACTAAATTAATAAATATTAAGTATTACAAAATAAAATATAAAAATACTGTTCAGTATAATTATCTTGACCTACCATAAATATATATGAGACACAAACATAATGAATCTAAAACAACTTTATATTTATCACAATGTATTTTTAAAAAATTTATAACAAGTTCTCTCCAACTAGTTTATTTTTAAACGCCACGTTACGAAGTATGTAAGAGTTATTATTACCTAAAGTATAAATACGAAAAAAATGTTTACCTAGAACGAAGTTATAATAAACTACCACAATATAAAAAATATTACTTCTATCAATTCATTAAATAAGCTAATAATATTAAACAAAATATTTTAAATTATATTTTTGTTATTATTTTTAAATTATTGAAGGTAATTATGAATATTTAAAAGATAAATTATGTATTAATATAAAAAAATTTACTTCGGGCTTCTATTCTTTCTATATTTTGAAGTGTTCACGCACTGGTATGTCAATTGTCAAACTCTTTGGACATTGATAGACTGAAGTCTCTCGCTTAAAAAAACAATTTGGACCTCTTTTCGAATTAAATATTTGTGAGTATGAAATTTTGAGAATATGTGTTATAGAATATTTTGTTAATACATCAAACTCAAAATAACTTTATTCATATAGGTAATCAATAACACTTATGAACGTCAACAGAAAGGATGTTAGATTGATTCTAAATTTACATTTACTACTAGTTAGCAAGTCAAGCACAACAAATCCCCCGAAGGACATAATCTAATATTTAAAATTCTCCTGTCACAATGTTCGTTCCCATACTCCTCCGAAAAGGCTCGACCGATTTTTATGAAATGTTTAATGCATATTCAGTAAGTCTGAGAATCGGACAACATCTATTTTTCATTCCCCTAAATGTTAAGGGTGGACCAACCCCTAAATTTTGAAAAATACGTACAACCTTTAATTGTCACCCCTCTACCATCGACCCCTAGTTTTTATTATAGTAGATACAAGTTATTTTTATTGAACTAAAAAAAAATCCTAGAAATAATATACATGGAAAAACGTCGTTTGCTATCAGCTAGTAATAATATAGAAATAATAAACCACAAATTTTGTTGACTAACTACTTTAGTCCCCCTCCCCCTCGTGGTTCTTTAAACGCTTGTATTTTGAAATCTAGGTAATTTGAAAGTCGACTGTATTTTAAAATTATTTAAAGATACATTGTCTAATTATAGTGATAATTTTTTAACTGTTGCTGTATTCTTTCAGTCAATACCACCTCAGGGCAATACAAGCTTCAGCGTGGTGTACCTGGGGCGGCGGGAGGGTCTCGTCACAGCTCACCTTTACATTCATACATCGCTTGGAGTACACAAATATCCTGTGAGTTATTTTTTGTTACATTACCGACTGTAAATAAATTCAAATTCGTTCAAAGAAAATTATATTTTGATTTGAACCGGATTGGATACAATTTAAAGTTCCAGCAGGTGTGCAGGTCTAAAAAATTCTTGGAAATTTAGAATAATTGAGATGATTCATTCATTGATTGATTGATCAAGGATAGTCAAACTTTAAAATTTCGTCAAATTGTGTTGAATCGGTTTATAGATATACCCCTTACCCATTCATGATGAATAAAACTTCAATGTGTTGCTGAAATAATTATATATAATCTTAGTTTTTTAAACAAAAAAACTTAAATCTCATAATAATCATATTTATTAATACGTAAAGACAAGTAAAGTAATGAATAATTACCTAAAATAATTTTAGAAACAACATTAAGAGTTTATTTCATCATTTAGCCCTTCAAAACCTAAATTAAAATCCGAAAATTTTAACAAAAAAATGCTTGTAAAAATTGAAATGACAAGCAAAAACTCGCGCCTTTTTTCACAGACTAACAAAGTATCAAAATCTTTGACACATGACAGATAATTAACAATATAAAAGAAGTCTATTTCTTTACATGTATGTGTGTCGGACTAATTTTTAAATTTGGTATTCAGGTGTCAGCGATAGGCGTGGCCAGTGAATATGACGTTTGGCCACTTGTTGGATTGCGTGTGCCTCACAATGCATCTGTCGAACCGGAGCTCACCTTATATAATCCCACCGACAAAACTATACAGGTATATACACGATATACAGAAATAAAAGCTTTTTATTGTTACCACTATTTTTTATATATTTTAGGAAAATTTAATTAATAAATTTTTCCGATTAAGGGAGCGTTCAAGTATAACGTAACGAATTTTGGAGGGGGGTCCTTTTGTAAAACGTTACGATGCGGGGGCGGGGATTGAATTACGCGTTATTATTAATATTATTTTCGACTTTCCAGTACTTTACACCACATTTTGTCAACTTTTAGGTATATAAAGAGTCACTGGGTGGTCACGAAACGTTTTACTATACTTAGGTACAGAAAAACGTTACGGCGCGTTACAGGGGGTGGGGGGGTCAAAAAATCTCGAAAAATTGCGTGACGTAATAGGCTTGTTTTTAAAAAAAAAAACAAAACAAAATCCCTCAAGCCCACCTAATATGCCCTTCATGGTCCCCATTGCCACAATTTTTTCCATAATTTGGGTAAAGTCTCAATAATTTTTCTCTAAAAATAACTTTTTTTTCTTTGGGAAAAACGTTCCCTCATAGGCCGAGGCTGGAGGTTGTCATGACATCTGTCAGGCCTGATCACCAACTTGCCTGTTAATCAATAAACACGAAATCTGAAGATGAAGGGATGAAGCTTATATTTTTTTGTAGGTGAGCGAAGTGTACTCGTCAGGCGGATGGCTAGGTCTTCGCCTCGCTAGTGGGGAGTCCCGAGCCCCTCGCGATATCTGGACCATCCCTCCCAGGGAAAGGCGGGCCCTCGTCCGATTAAGGATTTCTCCCACTCACAAACAGCCCTTGGCTGCTTATGTGCGGTGAGTACCAGTTTTTATATTATTGGTTATTCAAAGTCTAAAATCATTTATTGATATAGGTAACACAATGTACACTTATGACCGTCAAAAAAGAAATATATATGTACTAGCAGACCGGCCAAGCGTTGCTGTGGCTAAGGTTTTTGTTATATTACATAGTAGTTAACTATTCAAGGGAAACGGTAGGAGAACTTATGTGAAACGTTGGTATTTTAACACAGCGCCATCTGTTAGAATTGTATAAAATAATAAACAAATATTTGCAATAAAATAATATTGCGGGTATAAATTGAGATGTACGCTATCCTATCTTTTAAGTTAGATCAAACTGCACACGGTGTGCAAATTCGATTGATATCGGTTCGGTAGTTTAGGAGTCCATAGCGGACAAACAACGTGACACGTAATTTATATATATTAAGATTAATGCTTCTAATTTCACATTTACTGCCAGTTCTCAAATCAAGGGCGTAGAACGGAGGAGAAGAACTGGCAATAAACTCTCCGCCTCTCTTTTTAATCGGCAAGTTTTTTGTTTTACATAATGGTTATAAGGAGCTGCAACCATTACACCATGTTCCACATGATATCTTAAAAAATAATAAATAAATAAATGGGATCCCTCGGTAGATACAGCTACAGTAATAAGTCTTTTGTCCGCAACCTTTGGTGAAAGATTTACAATTGTTTCCTCTTTTTAAGTAAGACTTAGGGGGCCTCGTAGCCTTGCGGTCTTATTAAGTGGCAGCTAGGTGAGGGGTACCGGGTTCGATTCCCGGTTCGAGGGCAAGTTTTAATTTAATTTAAATTTGTTCTTGGCCTTTGGGAGGGTTGTGCGGTACCGGGTGAGTGCCTAAACCGTACATGGAGGACACGGTCGAATTTCTAAAGACAAGCACGATTTATAAAAAATCCTATACTTGACGCTGGCTAATGCACAAATCGTGCCAGAGCCATTAAAAAAAAAAGTAAGACTTTTTCTATTCTCAGGATCAAGGCGAACATTCCGGGCGGTGGTTTAGTAGTGTGCGTGGAAGCCCGTAGTGCACCACCCGGGGAACACACGAGACCGCTGCATTTGAGGCTTCGCCCGCGGGGCTCCAACGACCCGGAGCATTCGGTGAGTCGATCCGAATTTTCCCGATTTCTATTCTTATAGGTAAAGTTGGTGAGGGGATTACAAAAGTAGATTGAAGTCGGAATGTTTTTGGTAATTGTTCTAGAAACACTTTTTTTTCAGTAAAATTAAAAAAACAATATAATTATTTTTTCGCATATTAATGTCCACACCTATATTTAATTATTTGGGGCCGTTCAAGTATTACGTAAGCACTATGGGGGAGGGGTATTTGATTTTCTTATTTGGTGATTACGTCAACAGTAACAGTTTTTTACACATATTAGCCACACATTGTCTATGCTTGAAAACTAAATCATTTTCGAGGATTAAAGGAAAAATGGAATAGTTTATGTATATTATTTTTGAATCTTTGTTACTTTTTAGGGGAGGAAATTGAAATAAATGTGCTTACGGACTAGAACGGCCCATAAGATTACTAATAAATAAATGAATCCAATAAACCGTTTCGATTTAAGCGCTCATCTCTTTTTGTCACAGCGAAACGTAATTTGATAGAAATTGAGAAGGTTAGTATATTGTTGTGGATAAATGTTGATATATGGTGTTCGTATACAAGGTCGGCAACGTACTACTTACACGAAGTTGCAGGTGTCCTCATGGAAGATGATTGGCACTTTATTTTAATGTTTGCTACTAAAAAAAATTTTTTTTTGAAGTTATACTTCTTTAGGCGTGTTATGAAAAATTTATGAGAGTGAAATTTTACGATGCACGCGCACCGTGACACAAAATTATCAGTATGGGCGCCGAGCGCTGCGAGCGAGATGGGAATAAGACAATCTACAAGTAAAAAGAAATGGAATATGCGTGAAGTTAGCAGCTATGCCAAGAATTTTGAATTACCATAATGACATTTGTAGTACCTTTTAAACAAATAAAGGAGTTTTAATTATTTTTTCAAAGAAATTTAGCAATGCTTTTTCACAAAGACCTATTGTTACTTAGTTAAAAGGTTATGAAACCTACCTAGTTTTTATTAAATTAAAAAATTAATAAAAATAATTAATAATTGAATAATATACTAAATATTAAATATTGTTAAATTATTAAGTAAATATTTATTATTAATTATTTAATATTTAAAAAAATAAAAAAACCAAAGAAGTAAATCTTTTAGGGTAATAATAAATTTTTTTCATATTTAACAAAATGTTTATAGTTTAGATAATTTATCAAGAAAGCTATTTTATTAAATTAAAAAATTAATAAAAAATGGGAATCCAGGTGTTCGTGGAAGCGGCGAACAGTGCAGCATCTGGCGTGAGGCTAGACGCAGCTCTAGACGCGGCCAGCTGCTGGAGAACCGCCCCAGCACCTCCGCCGCCTTGTGCGCATGCGCATGTCGCTAATGGTAATTAACGCAGTATTCATTTAACGACTTCAATAAAATAAGGTTTTTTTTTTTTATTTTTTATTCATAATGTATGACTTCAAAATTCTTGGAAACCAAAAGTTTTATCGAAATGTGCGATTAGTTTTTTCATCAAAATCAGTTCAGTAGTTTTTGATATCTACGCATTTCTGGAGGGGATATAATATAGGTGGAGGGTACCTATTATTTCTTATAAAAAAATCTGTGGCGCTACAACCTCTTTTTAAGTCTTGGCCTCAGATTTCTGAATCTGTTTCACGATCATTTTTAAATCTAATAGGCAAGTAGGTGATTAGCCTCCAGTGCCTGAGACACGTCTAAGACGTGTCGGTTTCCTCACGATGTTTTCCTTCACCGTTCGAGCGAATGTTAAATGCGCACATAGAAAGTCCATTGGTGCACAGCCGGGCATCGAACCTACGACCTCAGGTATGAGAGTCGCACGCTGAAGCCACTAGGCCAACACTATTATTTCATAATATTATATGAAGACTTTTCCAGGTGGAGCAGACGTTCATAGTGGAGCACATTTGACGGTGCTCAAGTCACATTTGGAGCCATTTGAGGACTTCAGTCGAGTCGCAAAACTCACATTTAACTGTAAGTTTAAACTAACCAGGGGTTTTTGGGACTGGGGCAATGAGCAGGTATTTAAGGACCGATCTGGTCGTGGTTTGTTGTGTTTGGTTCTCTGGACATACGAGGTAATCATTCTACAGCGACGATATATTATGTGTGTGCACCTAGAGTCTGGCTAATGAAAGAAGATAATTGAATTATTTGAAAACTTTCGGATGGCAACACAGAATGTTATTGAATTTCTTAGGTTAGTATGATTTATTGTCTTGATACTTTATGTAATTACTCATTTTTTTTATTATATATTTTTTCCGAATAGTTGACAGGTATAATAGCCTAGACTTTGTTTTATTTGGTAGAATATTTCTTTTCTTTCGCAGGATTTGATTATTCCGAATAAAGTTGTGTTTTATAGTAAATATAGTTTTAGTTTTCCATTCAATGCTAGTCATTTTAAGTATCAAGAGTAAAAGAATAAATACTTAATTTCATAGAAATACAGTTATTATCAATGTAAAAAATAATAAAATAAAATCAAGTATCAAGTAAGTTTAATCCACAAAATATATCAAACTTTTAGGGATACCATACTATTTTTTTTTAATTTGCCGCGCTTTTTCGTTATCTTCTTTCACAAGCCAGACTACTCGTTATATCTAATAACATAACAAGCAGCTTCTGTCAACTAGGCCAGATTGCAAATAAATTTTCCTCCATAGAACTTCTATCTAAATTTAAGTTTCGTGGGTACACGATACCCCAGGCATCGCATTATTCAATTTGTCCCTTCTTTCCGAAGAACGCGTTTTGGTCAAAGCTCACTGATGTCCAGATTAAGCATTCGGATAAACGAGCTATAGTCGTATTTTTAATTAGACGAAGTCAACTGACGTTTACGGTGTTGTCAGTTTTTAATGAATATTTAAATAGAGAGAAAAAATTTTTTATCGTGGTCACCGTGACCACGCACGCTGTAAAGCACGCGAAACGTCGGATAAATTTAAAATTATGTTAAATAGTTGTAAATTTATAATAATACATAACTTCAATCCGGTCAAAATAGTGTTTTATTAAATGAATAAAAGTTATGTTAATCAAAGACAATACTAAAAACCTTTGAATTGATGATCGGTGATGGCACTAGTCGCCGCGCCGCGCTTTGTAATAAACCGTCAAAAAACTGATTGTAGTGACATAGTACTAGTACCTAACTTATATCCAGAGTACTTTTATACAATTTTGAAATAGAAATAATATTCTTTTATAGTTTGAAATGATTAACTATTCACACTCATTGTTCATTCATCGGATTGAACAAGAACTGAACGTATCACTATTACTTTAAATATGGCAACATTATTTTACAAAGTGACATTAGCTACTGTCAGTTGGCTTCGTCTAATTAAAAATGCGACTATAGGTCTGGATATCCATAGTTGCGCACCTCACGCTTTAATATCGATTTTTGTTTAGTTTTTTGTAATTGCAATTTTTTTGATTAGTAATTGTTTTTGGAACGAAGTTCCTTATCGCGCGTTGTGAAAGGGGGCTAGACGGAAAAAATTCTTACGAAAAGTTGTCACGACACTTTTTTGCTATTTGCTATTGTAATACACCGGTTCTCGTCCGATCACCGAAGTAAAGCAACGTCGGGCGAGGTCAGTACTTGGATGGGTGACCGCCTGAGAACACCTCGTGTTGTTGGCTTTTTTTTTGAAGATTGGTGTCGAGAAAATCTATCATACTGTTATGATACCAATTAACATATAAATTAATCGAAAGGAATTTCGTTCCATCCGGGTGTCCCTTGACACCTCTAAAGTTTTTTTTTTGTAATGTTTGTTTTCTTTAATAATTGTTTCGATTTATATTTGTATGATCTACGCTGCGATGTTTGCCTATAAGTGCTTGTCACATAAAAGTTGTATATTGCGGTTATTTTATCAATGTATCAGTGTGCCCAGCGTTGGCAAGGTTTTACCAATAATAAAAAAAACATGTACGTTCGCCTGAGTTGGACGGTATATCCAAGAGTTGTGACTTCCCCTTCAGATATTTTTCTGGAACCCGTAGACCCAGTCCATTGTAATAATAATGTATTTATTGCAAGAATATGGTACAAAAATGTGTATGGTACAATCGTAAGTTCGCATATTCTGCCATACAAAATGGCGCGCAAATTTGTCTTTAAAGGAATTTTACATTATTAGTCATATGATTTGGTCAATTCTTATAATATTTGTATCGTACATAATATCATATCATACTTTATTAAATTTATATCAACTACAGTATCTCACGCAAATAATCATTTATTGAATAGTACATTTTTTCCAAAAGTAATACACTAAGTCGCTTTTTAAAGACTAGTCGGATCTTTTAATTCTTTTGGTAAATTATTGTAAACCTTAATGGCCATACAAAAGGTGTTTTTCCGAAACAGTTCCAGATTTATTTTTGGCACATCCAATTTCTCCCCATGTCTACTTCTTACTTCGACTTCGACTCCACATACAATACTGTATGGTCGCTTTATCAATACAGATGCAGAGCTTTGGGCGTTGTCCCGCCAGAAGGTTGATGAGCAAAGCAACGGCGAGAGCAAAGAGGGCGTGGCCTGGTGCGGGGGCTGCGTGCGCCTGGGTAAAGCCTCCGTCCCCTACAGCCTCACGCTCTTGCCCGGGACGCTTGCCTTTCAACCGGATACGCTCGAGTGAGTCTCTTCTTCTATCTATTTTTATTTTTGAAGTTATACTTCTTTTAAACCATCCAGGGCTCCACCCATACGCAACAAAAAAAATCATTCAAATCGGTCCAGCCGTTTAAGAGGAATTCAGTAACATACACACGTACAGTAGAAATATATATATATGTAAGCTACCCTATCTTTTAAGTTAGATCAAATTGCACACGGTGTGCAAATTCGATTGAAATCGGTTAAGTAGTTTCGGAATCCTTAGCGGACAAACAACGTGACGCGTAATTTATATATTTTAAAGAAGTTCAGAGATTATGTTATAAAATAACATGTCATTTGTTTTATTTGAATGGCAACACCACGCAACGTGTCATGGTCAATTTGTCAGTAGTGCATAGAAACTATCTTAGAGTTGAGTTGCTCTCTGATCGGCGCCTGCGCCGGACGTGCGCACTGATCGTGTTTAAATATTAAGTAAAAATGTCGGATGATGGTACTGAAATCCAATTTTGCAATTATCTGTTGGGCGATTTATATTATTTTTGTTATCTTTATAACATTAAATTAATTTAAAAATGGTGGTTATTTCATCATCATCATTGGAATGGTTCTGTCTAATCAATCTTCTCACTAGGCCCCGTGGTGTCAGGAGAATAGCCTCGACATTCACGTGATGGTGGTTAACAAAAAATCTGGTTTTTTCTTCTTCAGTATAATAACGTCTGATGAGAAGTCAGCGTTCAAAGAGCGTGAAGTCTTCGCACACAATCAGTTTGAGGCGCCGCTTCGTATCACTGCGGTGCATCTTCCTGACGAGGTGTTGCCATTTTTCGAGGTAAACATTTTTTTCAAATTACTATGAAATTCGATATCTTGTTGAATGCCTTTTGGCTGATTTAAACTACTTCCAAAATATAACTGAATACGAATAACATAAAATCCATACAAATTCTTCTCTATGACTATCTCCATCTTCCTCCTAATCTTTCCACCTCTCTCTCAGCCCCTCTCCCTCTTGCCCACTATCTTTATCTGTCTCTCTCTCTGTGTGTCACTGACAATCTATGTCTATATTTATATCCCTATCTATCTCTATAAATCAATCTCTATCTCCTATATACCTTTATCTCATTCTATCTCTCTCTGCAGAGTGTACTTCTCTTTCCCTTTCCTCTCATTCTCTGTTCTCTTCTTCTTTCTCCTCTCTATCTTGTACCTATATTTTTCACCTACTTTATTTCTCTTTCTGTCTCTTTCTCCTCTCTCTCTCTCTCTCTCGATCTCTATCTTTATCTCTCTGTCTCTTTATCCCTATGTATGTTTCTCTCGCTTTCTCTATCTCTTTCTAGCTCTCTCTTGATATATCTATCTACCTATATATCGCTCTCTCTATCTATCTACATATCTCTCTCTCTCTCTCGATCTTTCTCTCTCTTTCTCTCTCTATATCTCTCTATCTGTATAAATTGCAATTTTTCTATCGCTTTATGTTTGCATATGTTTCTAGGTTAAAGAAAACACGCCCTTGTTACTAAACCCGGGTGCCTTGGGCTCACTCCTCACGCTGCGTCTCCGTACCTTGCCAGATACGATTGACACGCGTATAACAGTACACACGAATCTCTCGCAGTACCATATACCGCTGCGGCTTTATAATGGGAGTTTTTCATTTGTAAGTATTTTTTACTTTATGGTGTTCGAATAAAGTAATCTGTTTAAACCAAGCTTATTATTAAGAAATTCATAATTAAAATATTAATTTGTATATCACGCCACACAACTGTCACAGATAAGTGGAATCGACGATGGCAGCCGTGCTTGTGAAAAAATGACGTTTTGATGTCTAATTTATTTATTTGACAAACAATTAATAATGTGTCATAGTAATTGTGTATTTTATTGTTGTTGTCTAATACTTGAACGACCCTTAAAAGATTATTATTTATGATTCTTCTAAAACTTTAATATTTATAAAAGAAAATAGTTGTTTACCAAGTATTTGTACTGATCGTGCATGGAGCTATCGAAAAGAAAACCACAATGAATATGAAACATTTTCTTTTATCAACAATATATGTTATTTAATAAAAAAAAATTTCAAGGCGTTGACTATTTGATAATAAAATAAAAAAAACGCTTTAAAAAAATTAGATTGTCAAATGCCAACCAAATGTCACCATTTTGATTATCTATTTAATATTGGTTTTTAGGAATGGGATTGGCCTAATTCGGACGCGAATTTGGACTTGGGCGTGGTCGGGACGTCGACGACATGGCGTGTAGGCCTGCGGCTGCGCAACCGCGCCTGCGTTGAACTTTGCGTCACCGGCCTAAGTGCAACGTTGCCGGGGGCCTCTGCCACGCTCACTAATGCTGTGCCGGTGAGAATTATTTCAATATATTTTGATGAATATTTGTTTAGCTACAATTGTAGGATGACCTCATCCCTGAGGTCGTCGTAGGTTCGATCTTTCTTATGCGAATTTAACATTCGCTCGAACGGCGAAGCAAAACATCGCGAGGACACCGGCTTGTCTAACACCCAAAAAGTCGACGGCGTGTGTCAGGCACAGGAGGCTGATTACCTTGCCTATTAGATTGACAAATGATCATGAAACAGATTCAGAAATCTGAGGCCCAGACCTAATAAGGATGTGTTACAGATTTTTAGTTTAAGTCCTATGAAATGTTAGTTTTGGTAGTGTATTTCTATGGCTCTCTTTTTGGGTAAAAGCTTCTCCATATTTTTCCTATTCTCTTTGTTTTAACATTCATCTAGTTTTACCCAGCTAGTTCTTCTGTTCATCTCTTCTTTTATCTTCCTAAACATCTCTTTCCAGTAGGTCCACTCCATTTTGTTGATTGAAGTTTCCATCTTTTATCTCGCGTTCTAGATCTTATATATAAAATTCTCGTGTCGCGGTGTTTGTAGTTAAACTCCTCCGAAACGGCTTGACCGATTCTCATGAAATTTTTTGTGCATATTGGGTATGTCTGAGAATCGGACAACATTTTTCATCCCCCTAATTGTTAAGGGTAGTCCACCACAATTTTTTTTTTTTAATTTTTTGATAATTTTTATGATACAGCATTAAAAAATACATACAACCCTAAATTTTCAACCCCTATTTTTTCTATAAATGATATACATGGCAAAACGACGTTTGCCGGATTAGCTAGTATACTATATAAATTAAAAGGCATTACGAATATTTTCAGCAATGCGTCCTACCCTTCGAGCTGGTCGAAGCCTGGCAGCGTTATTGCACCCGATTTTGGAATGTTTGATCCATTCGTGTTCAAACAAAAACAATAACGTTCCGTATTTTTCACGCATGCGACGCTGACGCTTCGAGCGCACAGCGGACGACTTGTTATGCCATGTCACCGGTGTTGCCAGCTGCCGAGTTTTTCAATTACTAAACAAATAATATATTTTTAGTTTGTAAACTTTATATTGAAGGTTAATTTAAATTTTCAATTTTCTGGAGGACAAGAATTTGTTAGTTTTTGGTCACTACTAAAAAAAACACAGAAAGCGTCGGCGTTAGTCAGATTTGATCTTTTTGTTTGTTATCTGATACGAAAAGAAGTTGATGTATATTATTGATGGGATATACTTGTAAAACAGTAAAAAGGTCTAAACTCAAGATCTTGTTCTACTGTAATAACATAAAAAAATATTCTCAAATTTACATTTACTACCAGTTCTCAAGTCAAAAGCGTAGAGCGGGCTAAGAGACTCTCCGGCACTCTTTTTAATAAAATGTTAACTTATAAAAAATGTGTTACGAAATTAAAAATTTTCGGAGGGCTATTGAAGAGAAGTCGATAAGCTGAATATGGAGTGTACGCTACTAGTATTCGAAGTAATTGAAATTTAAGTTAGCCCTAAGGGTTCAAAAGACACGTGGAAAATATCCATCATCTGTAATACTATGTGAGATATAGTATTACGGGCTGAAGGAACTTTTGCTTGTTTAAAAATGGATAAATTTGAAAAACAGTGCTACAGTTTAAGCCAAGAGATTGATTCATAAACCTTATTTGGACTACAAGAAATTCCAGCACCGTTGCGTGGTTTCACTTAGTTTTCCACGAAGCGAAACTGCGCTCTGCAGACTATGCCAGGGACCACCAAAGAGGCTGGTTTGACCGTCAAAACATCAAAAAAATTCATAAAATTACGTGACTAAAGATATCAGTAGGATCTTAATCCTTTGGACCAGAAATGTATGCTAGGGTATTTTGAGACGGAGGTCCTTGATAATATCTCATAAAATTCGGAATATGCGAAGTCATCTGTTAAAAACCAGTGACTGAAATCGACTCGAATATGCGTGCTACAAAATCGACTTGATGGTTCTGAGGGCTGTTATTAAAAATCCGAAATTTATTTCGAATATTTTATCCCCGGCGTTTTTTCCTTTATTAGTACTCGCCGAACAAATCGTATACCTATTACAAAATGGATCTAGTAGTTTGTTTTTACCGCTGTTTACATTTATTGAGAATTGATAATGGAACCAAATTCTATCAAAAAATAGTATGATTACGTTACAACAATACACCTGTCCTAAGGCTGGTCAAACTTCCTTGCTACGTGAGTTATTACCAAGCGAAAAGGCCCTAGTAGATGATCCATTGTACGCAGCAGGTACGATCGCTCATGTATTCGTCGCTGATATTCACACTAGTGTACATGCTAATGACAATATAATTAAATAAAAAATCGCCGGTGTTACCGCACAAGACGTTATGCGACAGAATTGCCATCTAAAGTTCTAATATGAAACTACTAAACTTTTACGTCAACCAATAGCTTTTTTTTTCTAGATCTCCCTAGGCTCTCTCTCTCAATCTTTACCGCCGCTCACTATACCTCTCAATGCCCCACCGCTCGCGTCCGTGGCCAGCTTTTTAAGAATTTACGGTTGGAGACGTTCGCTCTCTCTCACTCACTCTCTCGATCTTTCTCAGCTTGCTCCCTACTCTCGCTGCATGTATTTGCTTCATGCTACGTTCGCACTGTCTCCTCTCTCTCAATCGGTCTCAATCGCTCTCTCCCTTTTCTTCGACAAAATCGCTGCACATCTTCGTGACGTTACGTAAAAGTTTTACCCTCATGCGCTTCAAAGATCTTTTCTATGTTAGCCTACATACTTTTCAGCCCACCTAATAAAGCTGGCTCCCTTGGTACACAATTCTTCAAATATAAACAGTTTAATGTGTTAATATTCCAGTACGCGGGTTCGGTGGCGCCACTTGTGGTAGACAGCACAATGTCTGTTTGGATGAAGGTCACGGGGGTGTCATACGTCGACACACACACACAGGAGGCACTCAAATTTGTGTAAGTGTTTTTGCTTTGCGTTTTCATACAAAACTCTAATAATGATAATAATTTAATTTTTTATTTACACTTCGTTTAGATAAAAACAAATAACTCTAACTAAACTCAAATGTGAAATATGTATTTAAAGAAAAACTTTTAGAGTTTTTGTTTACTGGAAAACAATCACTTTTATCATATTTCTTTTATGATCCAAAAAGATCTAACAAAAAAACGACGGGTTTAACTCCGGGAGTGCCGGCAGAAGTGAAAACTTGAATATTAACGTTGTGCATTTTTGATATTTTGCAATAGTTAGGGAATAATTTTGAACGAAATGCTTTATATCAGTATAAAAGTACTATCATTTATATGGTAGAATACAATATTTATTTATTGCACTATCGTACACAAACATGACAATTTATATTACATTAAATACGCCGCACCAGCTGTCTACTCTCCATCCGTCTTACGAATTTTCGATCAGGTCACGTGTCCTGACGCGAGTTTAACATTTTTACAAAAAGCGTACAACGCCGCTAAGGAAGTTTTCACTTCAAAAATTTTCGAATTAAAATTTAAATGACAGGCCAAAACTAGTGTATTTTCCACAGACTAACAAACAAATCAAATGAAACATCAGTTAACAAATAATATATATTTATTAATCTAAAATTAAAAGATCTTCCGACTAGTCTTTAAAAATCGACTTGGTGTATTACTTTTGGAAAGAATGTACTATTCAATAAATGATTATTTGCGTGAGACACTGTAGTTGATATAAATTTAATAACGTATGATATGATATTATGTACGATACAAATATTATAAAAACTGACCAACTCATATGACTAATAATGTAAAATGTAAAATTCCGTAAGACAAATTTGTGCGCTATTGTGTGTGGCAGAATATGCGCACTTACGATTGTACCACCATAACATATTTGTACCATATTCTTGCAATATATTATTATTATAAAGAATCTAATCTAAGAAATTTATTACTTCTTTACATATATATTTATATATATATTGGAATAGTAAAACATTAAATAATTTTTATTAATGGTTATATCTTTCTGAAATATATAAAGTATAAATTTCAGCCCACTGGACAGTACAGAGGTGGGTCCAGGTCGACATACAGTGGGGCACATTCATTATGAACCTGAGAAACTGTGCGAACCCAATTGCTATACGGGACTGCCTTTGGACTCTTCGGGTGAGTATCTTCAGTAATATTTCTTTCTATTTAATAGTGTAACCTGGTTATTAGGGATCTTAAGGGATCAAGAATTTCGTACTATTTGAATAATTTTTAAGCCAAGCCACCACTACGTGGAACCAGCTGCCCAATGAAGTATTTCCGAACCAATTCGACTTAGGGTCCTTCAAGAAAAGAGCGTACATTTAAAAGCCGGCACGTCTGGTGAGCCTCCTGCACTTTTGCTGAATGTTTTGTTCTAAAAAAGAGTAAATCGAGAAAGTTAAAGAAGGAATAAAGCGTTTAAAAGCCGATATAAATCGATTTCCCACATATCTGATAGAAGATTATGTCAAAGCTACTTAACCAGGTCTCATTTAAACACGTCTGGCTCTACTAGGCCCCACTTTACTAGGCCCCACTCAACTAGGCCCCACTCAACTAGGCCCCACTCAACTAGGCCCCACTCAACTAGGCCCCACTCAACTAGGCCCCACTTGACTAGGCGCCACCTAACTAGGCCCCACTAAAATTGTAACACTATGGCAATTTAAAAGGTGGGCTGATGAAATTGGTATACAATAAGGCAAAATGGAAGGCTTTGCTCGTGGGTTATCGTAGATGAAGAAAAACAATAACTATAATGTATATATTATGTATTCTGATATAAGGCTATATATAAATAGAAATTGTTATGTTTGATTTTGTTTTAAAATGATTTTTTTTTGATTTGTAGACAATCGTCGTCGCGCCCTTCCCTATGACGTACCATGCTTGTAAACAAGTAAAAAATTACACAAATGTTTTCGTTAGAATATGACAAGTGACATTACAAGCATGATACGTCATCATCGATCGATTAATTATGTTTTGATAAATTATACTCTCAATAACACTATATAGATGATATAATGATTTCCAGCTGGTCTATTGTGGCTGGAGCGATCCAAGGGAAACAACTGGGCGGACACAATCCGTGCAGATATACATGCGTTGCAGACACGCCTGGAACAATTTGGGAACAGTTTGACGCAAACAAATTACTCTATATATCTACATACGACACAGGTATGTCTGTTTGTGTTTGATTTGTGCAATCCCTCCTGTAACAGAGTAGATTGGTTCCGCGTTTTAGGAAACGCGATGAGTATTCTCGCATAACGGGCTTGTATGACCGTATATAACGCGTTTTGTACAAATGATTTACGTTTAACATTTCTCGTCAAAGGGAATTGAAATCGAATATTAAGAAAAAACTATGCTATGAACAAAATATGTGTGTACAAAACATTGTCACTATACAGAAATATATGGGGTATTACCAGTGTTATATTGGGGATTACTCGTGTTTTATGGGGGATTACCAGTGTTATATTGGGGATTACTCGTGTTTTATGGGGGATTACCAGTGTTATATTGGGGATTACTCGTGTTTTATGGGGGATTACCAGTGTTATATTGGGGATTACTCGTGTTTTATGGGGGATTACCAGTGTTATATTGGGGATTACTCGTGTTTTATGGGGGATTACCCGTGTTATATTGGGGATTACTCGTGTTTTATGGGCTTCTACACGCCATCTGTTGTTTAATAAATAAATGAACTTATTAATTTATTTAATTAAAATTTTCAGGTGATTCAAACACCTATCGACGTAATGATAGAACACACGTGGCCACGCCTTATTGTAAGCAGTGGTGTGGTCGACCCCAATGCGACAAGTTCCCTCAAAAATGGGGAAAGCGGGGCAAATGGAGGAAGTGGGGCTATGGAGTTGGGGGGCGTGGGACTGGTCCCTGTTGGGGGGCGTGGGCTTGTGTGGCTGCGCGTGCGCAATCCTTCGAGTAAACCGATTTTGGTACAGCCCGTCTTGGCCCCGACGGTGACTGATGGATTGCCCAAAGAGTAAGTTTCGTGTGTTGTAGTTTTTTTTATGAGCTCGCCCAAGTGAACATCTATATGTTCACTTGGGCCTACGAAATCTTTACATGTTATAATTATAAAGTTCCCTGTCAGCGTCTGTATGAGCGCGATATACTAAAAAAAATGTGTTAGAAAAATAAACCTCTTGTACGCACACAAAAAAATTCTTCAAAATCGGTCCAGCCGTTTCGGAGTTTACTAAGATTATATTATTAGTTAACACAAAAGATTAGAACGTGTAGGTACTTTACACTTTTAAAATTTACTGAGGGTAGGGTAGTAACACGTCCGTTCCGCACGAAGTCTCGAAATAAAAGTGAGTCAACGCCGGTTTTGCTTCGCCTTATATAAGTTTCTGGTCCGAGATGACGTCAGTCCGCTAACAATATATTAAACCTAATTTTGTATTCAGGGCGGGCGGTGAATCGGGCTGGTGTAAATCCACCTCCTGCGTCTGGTCGGACTCATTCTCAATAGAGGAGTGGAGGGGGGTGAAGGGGGAGGCGAGGGCGTGGGAGGGGGACGTAGTGTGGCTCGAGCCGCGGGCGGAGGTGGACGTGCGTGTGAACTTTACGCCCAAGGAGGCTGCGAGTTTGACTACGTATTTGTATTTAAGGTATGGATTTTTTTAATATTTAATTTGCATTGACGTGACAACGTGTATATAATAAATCGATAAACGCCGGCTACTCGCACGAAAAATTACCCATCGTCCCGTTACGCTCATTTTCCAGTTATTGTCATTGTCCCGTTACGATTATTGTACGCTTGCGCCGCATCTATTTCTCTTCCACTCAAAGACTTAAGTATGCTATGGTCCGTAAACCAACTTAGTTTATGACAGCCATTTTTTTTAAATGTCTTTTGGAAGTCATGTATCCTTCGATATAAATTTGGTATACTTATTAATGAAGTTTCATCAAAATCTGTTCACTAATTTTTGATAGGTATAAATAATCTTTACGTATAAATTACTTTATGGTATAAATGTATGAGAGCAGAGTTGGCCTAGTGACATCAGCGTTCGACTCTTCTGAGGTCGTAGGTTCGATCTCCGGCTGTGCACCAATGGACTTGCTTTCTATGCAATTGCAATATATCTACTAAAGTAATACGTGAACCTATTGGTTAATAAACAAAACAAAAAAAAGGGTGCGTCTACTTATGTACGCGCGTAAGAAGTTATACTTCTTTGGCATTATTAAAAATAGTTTTTGATTGCATGCAAATAATTAATTACAATTAAATAATCAAAGAGTCATTATAGTCAATAAAGTTCAGTTTACATTTGAAAATTTAAATAAATAAATATTTATTATTAGTCTCTTACGTTTGTAACATAAATTCTATTATTATTCGAATGTTGCTTTAAAATTATGTCCAATGCCGTAGCGTCTTCCGTGGGCAACTTCATTCTGTTAATTTTGTGTCACGGTGCGCGCGCATCGTAAAATTTCACTCTCATCAATTTTTCATAACGCGCCTAAAGAAGCATAACTGCAAAAAGAAACTAATTTTTAAGACACTATACTAAATTCATGGTAAAACAATAATTTGTATATAAACATGATCTTAAGATATTTAACTCTGACACAAATGGATATATTTTTTTTTTCAGAAATAATTTGACGATATTAGAAGGAGTACAATTGAACGGCGTTGGAGCGGTACCAAGCTTCGATTTGGGCGGAAGACGACCTGGACCATCCTCAATATTTCATTTTGAGGTTAGTTTTCCATTGAATAGGGTCAACGGTTTATCTGATGTTATGTGATGGACTTCGACACTCTAAATTACTGAGTGCGATGCCGGCCTTTTAAAAAATTTTAGACTGAAGGATTTTTTTACTCTGTGAAGCTTTCGCGATTGAAGCGTCGGCTTTTAATAACAATTAAATATTAAATGACAATAATTAGTAGATATGTGGGTACCCACACGTTTTGACAATCTTAGGTCCATATTCGAATCTCAAGTCACGATCTCTTGAGGTTATGTCAAACTTACAGAAAAATTGGTTTGACAGCTCTTGAAACTTGACGTTTGATTGCCATTATGGTATACTTTCAATAATATATTTGTTTAGTTGAAATATACCGTTTTTTATTGGTCAGCCGTAATAAACCCAAATAATGGATAATATATATTTTTCATTTAATGATTAATATATTGGTACGTATTTCCAGGTGGAAGAATGTGTGTCGAGCACACGTTCCGCGGTAGTCCGACGACGCATATTAGCTCGTAATACTGGTAGAGTTTCCATCCACCTACACGGGTGGGACATTTCCCGCCAAGGGTGTCGCGGACGGGGCTTCCGCGTCTACCCCTGCGCCCCCTTAACCCTCGCCCCCAATCAGACCGCCCCCATACACCTCGCCTTCACGCCGGACTACACCCTCTCCCGCCAGTCCGCGAAGCTCCGGCTCCTTTCCGACTTAGGTCCCGTCGAGTACACCCTACTGGCCACCGTTCCCGTCAAACTCCTGACCCGTTGTGCCCCCACGTTCCCGAAACACCCATGGGACGCCCCCATCCGAAACTTCGTCAATACTCTCACATTTATAATACTCGCCGTTCTCCTATTCACCGCCGTGTATGACTCGGAGCGACTCCTGCGCAGAGCGAGATCCACCCGAGCGCCATCTATCCGTCCTCCCTTAGATCTACGAGAAATCGCGGCGACCACTACGGTCACCCAACCGCCGCCCCCCAGAGCCCCTCCGTCGAGGCGAAAGCGCCCCACGAGGAGAACGGACCCACGCGCAGAAAGAATTGCCTTCGAAAGATGGCGCACGGAAGTTCTGAGACGCACGGACGACGATTCCTCCCGATCCAGTGAGGATCTGGAGGAGAAAGAGGAGAAAGAGAAGAAAGAAGAGGTGGTTGAGAAAGAACCAGAGAAACCGGAGGAGATAGAGGCGTCCAGCGCGTCTGACGAGTCCACTCAGGTCGACGAACAGGACAACGATGAAGCTTATACGGCAGATGCGGAGTTGGATGCGCGCGATTCACCCGAAGAAACCATAGTGGAGCCAAAAATAAGCCCCATTAGGACGCAATCTCCCCCCAAGGTTCAAGTTACCCGACGCTCCCCTAACAATCGGCGGGAGAGACGAAACGACGAGACTGTCAGGAAGAACACTCGACCGCATGTGAGGAAAGAGAAACGCCGAGTGCAGAGGGCTGCGACCCCCCCGAGGTCCGTCACCGTGAAGGAGAACGTTGAACCGGGAGAGATTGGGGAAAGCAGGGGCAATGTCCGTTGGGGGGCTTCGTGGAGTTCGGTCGTCGCGGGGCCCCCGCTCGCCCCTATTGGCTCGGACGTCCGTAGGCGGGAGAATAATACAGATAACTCCCTGTTCTATTATAATGGGGCACCGGAGCCGCCGAGGCCGGAGCCCGAGTTCGCCTGGAGACCAGCTATTGGAACACCTGAGAGGTTGCCATTTACGCCGTCCACTTCCACTAGAGATTTCCTTGGTAAGATTTTTTTTATTTTATTTTTAAACTTTAAATTAACTAAGGGAGCGTTCAAGTATTACGTAACAAATTTTGGGAGGGGGGGTTCTATTTGTAAAACGTTACGATGCGGGGCGGGGATTGAATTACGCGTTATTGTTATTATTTTCGACTTTCCAGTACTTTACACCACATAATGGTAACTTTTAGGTATAAAGAGTCACTGGGTGGTCACGAAACGTATTACTATTGGGTACAGAAAAACGTTACGGCACGTTACATGGGGGTCAAAATCTCCAAAAATTGCGTAATAAAATTGCGTGACGTAATACTTGAACGCTCCCTAAGGTATATTGGTTTAACTGAGTATAAATATTTCCAGACGAGACCCCGACATACAACAATATAGGGTCCGTATGGGGGGCAAACAATGCTTGGTGTTGGGGTGGCGCCCCCATGCGTCCGCCCCCCGGCTTCGCCCAACAGGCCCCTCGACCTTATGACCCGTTCCGCTCTTTGGCTTCCATTTGGGCCCCTGCCCCCCACGATTGGCACATCAATCCCCCCAACGATGATGAACAGAACAACTAAATTATCGTTTATAGCCAGTTATATCTAAGTAACTTAGAACTAATTAAAATGTTTAAACTAAACCTTTGCATAAACTTAAACTTTAGAGTAATCGCATTATTGATCGTACCCCAAAAAACAATCGTGCCCCAAATATAAAGAAAAAATACTAATATTAGAAATGATAAAACCCCCATTAAACAGATTAAGCAAAAAAAAAATTCCAAGCTGTCAAAACTTATTTTGACGTTACTAAGATATTAACTGCTATATACGATTTTACGGTTACACGGCAATGTAAGATAAATATAATTTTTAAGATAAGTAAAAAGGAAACGCAATCACTTTTTAAATTGCCATTATAATCGTGTACTTGTAAAATATAGCTTTATTTGTGGTTAAATACAGAGAAAATTGATCACTGGTTGGTCACAGACAATACGTCAACAGATAGATTATTAACTTAACTATATGTCAAAATATGTTTAAGAAAGACAAACAAAGCATCGTTAAGTCGATCCCTTCCAGCTGTCAAAACTTGACATTGACGTATTCAAAAACCGATGTTTAGTTTCCGTAAGGTTTTAGTTTCAAGGAGAACGAAGAAAACAAGAAAAAGCTATATTTTACAAGGTAAGGTGACCTCGCTTTTACAATGGACTCTGATATTAAAGTTTATTAAATGTTGTAACAGAAGATGTGTTTGGTGATGTCTAGTCATGGTTTCACATCACCGGGCCATTATCAAATGTGAACAAACCGATGTAATATGTCCGTTCTCGAATTAAGTTTGACAATTGACTTATGGAAATTGGCGGGAAATTACGGATTGGGAAATATTAACTCATGTTTGAAATATTTTTACCGATAAATCGAATTGTCAAACGTATCTGGAAATTTTACCGCGAAACTTATTGACAGGCAAGATGGCGGATTTTGATCAGCTGTGTATTTGTCAAGGTAATGTAAGTTATTATTTTTAAAGACGCGATTTAATGAGTGTCAGAGACAATTATGTTAGGCACACGATACGATTGGTAAGAATCTTTAAACTTTGTTTTGCTTGTTAAATAACACTTTTAATCGGTTAGGTTGAATAGTTATTTTTACCGTCTGTTATAAATACCATTCGCAATTACTACGTGTCGTTTTCTTTAAGATTCGTAACTTTCTAGTCTTTTAGATAATTTCTTTCTAGAAACGGACATAAAAATACAGTATGAAATGACAAGTCATGTGTATTTTGTTCCATAGATACTGTTTTTGTAATTGAACAAACTTATTATTACAGATTGTATGTTACAACTAAAATAAACTTTGCTACAAATGAAGTTTTTTTAATGGCTCCACAGATAATGCTCATGGCGTGACCGTATTTCAAAACGTCAACAAGTCAAAACTTCATTCCAATTGTTTGTCTGAAAAATTCTACATTTAAAATATTTCTATTTTGACAATTCAAAACAAGAGATAATAACCTTCCCAAGGTCAATCCATGACAGTTTGATTTAACCAAGACATTTAAAATGAATTTATATTTCATATATTCACAATTTAGAATTATATTTTTACAAATATTTCTTTTCCGTGTAAGCTGTCTAACGTGATAAAAGAGGATTTAAGGAACGTCCCTAGTTTGGTAATTTATTTTGATTGTACGCCATTTTGAAAACGTCGCTTGTTGAATTGGCGCCAATCATACATGATGGATTACGATTTCGTAATATAACTGTGGCGTAGTCTGTGGCTTGAATACGTTTTGAAGTAGGTACGAGCCTTATACCTATTTGCACTAAAGATTGGGCAAAATTTAAGGTTCCTAATTAAGTTATTTAGGTTATTTTAGTTTTAAAATTTGTGTTTTTTTTGTTTTTATTTTCTTACTGTCATAATGGATTTAGTGCAAATGGGCGTGTGTTAATGATACCATAACGAAAAGGCAAGAGGTTTTAAAAACTCGACAATTTTAATTGCGCCATTATTGCGTTGTCATAAGTCTTGCGTTTACGGTAATGGAGATATAATGTTACTGTGTAATAGATAAATAGGGAATGTAGACACCACAAACTAAAGCTCTACCCATTACATTGCCTTGTGTATGAAAATGTCAGGCGCAAAAAAGGCCAATATACGACGTTGGTGACCGAACGGTCAAACATAGTATATGGAAATACAAAGAATACTTTGACTTGACAGTGTAATGGAGTGACTACCCAAATGTGAAATGATGAAGTGCCGCAATATTAGTTCCCAGTAGTTCGCCCAAAGGCCCTTCCAATCTTATTTATCTATTCCGTAAAACTCTACCATGTCAATGCGTCTGTGTCTGTATGAAAAATTTTATTGATGGCTAGTGAGCCTTGAATAAAATGTTTATTATGTTATAATTGCGTGAAAATTTCTAACCAACTGTTTCCATAGACAACTTAGGACTATTGCGTGATTGTTTCTATCGTATTCGCGCGAATAGTGGTTACGCGCCAAAACATTTTTCAGATTGACATTGACATTTAATCCTTTTTAATCTATGGTAGAGCCACTGTCTATTAACAATGATACTAATGTAACACGGATTTGGTGGAATTTGAGAGCTGCTTAGCTGATACTAGAATCTCATTTGGCGTATGGACTCAGGTAACCTGTATAACTTTAAGTTGTCATCGTGTGATGATCCTTTAGGTATTTAAGGTATTTTTACAAAGCATTTGCTAGTCGTGACTACAAAACTGTCTCTTGAAGTCTGAATAAATGTTTCTTTACGACGCTTCTTGTTTAATTAATTACATTTATAGTCCAATATTTATCATAATCTGTTGAGAAGTTTTAAGAGAATGACAACCAAAATTAATAGTCTAGTCCATGATAAAAGAATCTTGAATCACGTTTTTTTCGAAGGTTTTTCGAAATATGAAATTTAACTTTTAGATAATAAATAAATAAATCGTTTATTTGCCAAGATAGTTAATAGAAGGCAATGGCGTTATTTTACGTGTATGTATGTATGTAGATATTGTAGCGAAACCTTTACGCTACTAACACTGATGACGTCATACCGCGATAACGGAGTTAAAATAAAACATCCCCACCTAAGCAACTGGGGCCATGGGACCAGTCAGTGGTTCGAGTTGAGGATTCGCTCTAGCTCGAGCAGCACCTTCAGGCTTATTATTATGGGGTCATGCTGCTGATGTCGAAACTATTTTCATCCTGCAGAAGAGGGCTATTCTTGCAATCTTTAATTTAAAATGAAGGGAATCTCTGAAAGATAAATTCAAGGAAATTAATATACTTACCTTTCCCTCGCAATTTATTTATGAAAATATTATGTATGTATACAAAAATAGTGATAAGTTTACTAGAATAGAACACACGCACAATGCTAATACTCGGAACAAACGCAGGCTGCAATTTCCCCGTACTAGACTATCTAAAGTTAGTTATTCTTTTTTGGGAAAGGAATGGTACTCTTAGTATTGTCTTTTATTGACATAACTTTCACACATTTGGTAATAAAATCACGTCAAGCAACGTCGGTTAAATTTAAAAATACAAAAATTATGAAAAATAATTGTTAATACATAACTTCAATCCGGTAAAAAATTGTTTTATTATCAGGGATACTCTTCCTTGATAAAATCCCAGAGGCTCTTTTATCTATGCCCTTTAATAAATTTAAGAAATGTATTGAAGAAAAGCTGTGTAAATAGGCTTACTATAAAGTTAACGAATTTCTAGTTGATAAAAGGGCCTGGGACTAGTGCTAGACAGGCTACTTCTAATTAATTTGCTTTGTTATATATTTGTTTTAAAATAAGTGTTGTTTGATCATTTGCTACCTATTCAAATTAAATGACGTGGAATATGTGATACCTATATCTTATATTTCATAATAAACGTATTGTTTTTATTAAAAAAATCCGCGATCTCTTTACATAAGGTTCTTTAAAAAAAGCTTTAAGGTAAATGTTGTTGCAATTATTGTCATATTTACTATTTACGAACATTTTAGTCGCGTGATCACTTTTTTATCAAGAAACAGTACCTAGATGGTCCAGAGTTTGTTTTAATTATTTCATAATTATATTTGCATTTAAATAATTTCTATCACTCTAAGCTACATAATAACTTTAACAAATAATTAGTAATACAGATTGGTAGTAAGGACCTCATAATTAGTGAAATAACGGTACAGCGTCCTGCGTCACAATCGGACAGTCGCCGAATAGGCTGTGCAAAGGCCTAAATCATAAAATTTACTATAGTTCATGAATGTTATAAAGGCAGTTTTTTTAAAGTGAAACTTTTATTACATCGTCTCAAACTGTTTCGTCTGTGTGTTGCATGTCGCGTGACGGTCGTTCGCGGAGTAGGGATAAAGTGAAAGTATATTTCGCAGCAGCTGACCGTGTAGTGTATAGACTATTATTTAATATGTGTATATATCTAAATAATTGTTTATTAAGTATTATTTATGTCGTACTCTCTAAGACACAGAGTTCAATAAAAATATTAGTTGGAGACTTAGTCTACTTTTATTATTTCCCATCATCATTCCAATTTTCCAAGTATAAAATTAAGATTGATAAAGCGATTTTTATACCCTTATTGGAATATTATTCCAAATTTTTTTTTACATGAGAAACTTAATACGAACGCGATACACGTCGCCTTCATCCTAATGTTAGTCTACTAGGCTCATTCTGAGATGTAGGTATCTTTAATGCCCTTTTAAATTGGTTAAAAACGCTAATATTACGAATATTAGACGGATTGATTAAATAATTGCACACTCTCGTACTTAATAGACTACTTCAAATAATTTGAACGCGGTTTCGACAAGATAAGTTAACTTGCTCGACGAGTATGCGTTTAGTGTTTGGTTTTTTTATATAAGCTACTATGGAGTTATTAACATTTTTAAAAATTAAGATACACATAGTTGTTTAATCGTCATAATTTTTGTTTCTTGGTAGATTTTAATAGTCTGTGTTAATTTTTTTTATCTAAATAGTGCTTTACTTTTGTATACTCTACTGATTGTTAGCTATTGCTCTGAATCTGTCTCAACAGGGCAAGAACAGACAAGCCCTTCAATTAAAATGGTACTTCAAAACGAATTTTGTTTAAACATGAAGGTACCTAGTCTAAGAAAGTAAGGATTGTTAAGATAAAAGACAAAATTGTTTCCATATTCTTTATGAAGTCATGAAACAAAGACTGGTCTGAATTTCTTTTGACACAAATCTTAGATCAAAAGTCACAATTCACATCCAAACATTGGAAATGTCAAAGATATAATCCAAAATAAATACAATGAATTCTCAATATCTATATTTCGTTGAATAATCCTTTGGTGAGACTACTAAACCACGGCCTTTCCTGGCCCCTCTGTATACTGTCTCTATAATATCTATCATTTCTTGCTTATCTTCTAATGTCCAATTGATTTTGTTATTATTACCAGTTCCAAGATCAATCATTATGTGTTTGTTTCTAAAGAAAAACATCACTGTGCAGGGGTCGTACAATTCGTACCTGTAAATTAAAATAAATTAAATTTGATGTGTTTCAATAACTCATTATGAAACTGATAAAGGTTTTCTAATATATGGTATCTTACTGAAATAAACAACATTGTTATTCTTATTCTAAGCAAGATATTTAAGTTAATATTTACAAACAGCTACATAGTGTGCAAATAATAATACTTACATTTTATTGAAATCAGGGACTTCTGTGATGTCTACAAGGTAAATTACAGCGAAATTCTTGACTTTTTCTGCAATACTGTATAACACTTCATCCATTTTCATGCACGTTGGGTCCCAGTCATGTCCAAACCGTATCACCTAAAAATAAAATTTTATTTACAATAATGATTTGATTTCGCAAATCTCTAACATTTTGGTTGATAATGGAATCTCAATACAATACATATATTTGTAGACGTAAAAAGTTTTTCACGGATCAATAGAAGTTGCGTTAGCCTAAAAATTTAGCTTACCACAACACGATCTTCTTCCGAAAGAATGGCTTGATCGACTTGCCAGCCATTATGCAAATGTCCCAACATATAACTCATAGTGAATGTTTTTAAAAAACTACGTTTGAATTAATTACAACAAAAATATTCAGTATAAAGCGTAAAGCCTTAAATAAAATAGGACAAAATTCTACAACTAAAAATATTTTTGTGAATTGATGGTAATTGTCATTTGTCAACTTTAAAAAGTGTATCGTGTGACGTTGACGGAATTCGACAATGACACATTGACGTTGACTTTAAAATTAATAAACATGAAATAATCTGTGAAATTTTTAATATTTAGGAAGTACAAGTTTACTGCTTCGAAACGTTTGCCCTTTTAAGCTTAATTAAAATCATAGTACTATCTAAAACCATGCACTCGATGATATGGTGTTTTAAAGACACGATTCAATATTGGGTGGATTTTATACTTTACAGCTACAAAGATATAAATGGAAATATTGTGTACAAAAATGTATTTATCTAATGACAAAACCTAAATACATACATACATTTAAAGCATGTTACGGTCTTTATACTTAAATATAGCTTAATTATTTAACGTTGACGCGAAAGGGGGAGTTCTAAGTTTGACGTATATTTATGCCTGTAATTGGTATCATAGCTCCGAAATGAATGATCGACTGTCGAAGGTCATCAGTACTTTTTCTGAAATCTTTGATTGTATTTTTTTTCTAGCATGTTTTAACAGTGGGAACTCATTTATACTGACCACTGATGGTGGGTCTTTTAATTTTTTTAAAGGAAAGTTGTTAAAATGCCTGATTCAACACATAGGCGGTGACATCTAGATTTAACTTGCAAGGGCTTCATTTAATCCGTCAAGACCTAAGAACCCCTATAGTTTCATTCACACATTTATGCTATTTTTATAATTCTTGGTACAGTCAAAGATATTAATTAAATAAACGTTTTATAATTAAAATTATAGATAGTTTTTTTTTATGGGACAGCAGGCAAATGGATAACTTAAAGTACTAACATTTTAGGCCCTTTAGGTAGCTTTACGTTCCTCTCTTGAAGGCCCCCAAGCCCACATTTCGGAAATACCTGGAATTGCATCTGATTCTAAAAGTTGAAGTACGCAAGGCGTGTCTTAGAAAGTTCTGATGTAAAGCCAAGTAGAAATAGGGTTTGACTTGCCTGTATAACATAGTATATTTATATGACATACACGAGTGTTTAACTGCTCAAGTTTACGACTCGGTCGATCAAACTCCGTATAAATAGATTCTTTGTTTGGTCAGGAAATACATCCTAAAGAATCAGCTCGTTTCGCGTCTAAAGATAAATGAAATAGGCGTAGAGAATTTGAGGTCGTAAGATGGCTTTGGAGCCTACAGGGTCTTGCTTTATTACAAATAGTCTGTGGATATTTTCAGATTTTGTAGGACAAAGTTTTCAGTGATTTTACTAGATTATAAACAGGTCAATATATTTGAGCCTTGACTTGAGCTATCGCGGAATCTTTAAAGGAGTTTTAAGAATATCCGTAGCGCTGAATCACCTGCATCATGAGCACACCCCTCATCACTTCACTTTTACACCATCACACAACACATCCAAATTTGGTATTACTTTTTTTTTTTTTTTTTTAGATTGGACAATTCACACCAATTGACCTAGTCCCATGCTAAGCTGGTGAAGCTTGTGTTATGGGTACTAGGCAACGGATATACATACATATTTTAGATAGACATATAAATACATATTTAAACACCCAAGACCTAAGCACAACACCAAATGCTCATCACATCGATGTTTGTCTCAGCCGGGGATTAATTACTTAGTTAAATGTATTGAATAATTTTCATTTATTTTTCAATCTTTGGCTATAACTTTAGTATAATTGTTTTAGAAGTTATACTTCTTTAGGCGCGTTATGAAAAATTGATGAGAGTGAAATTTTACGATGCGCGCGCACCGTGACGCAAAATTAACAGAATGAAGTTGACCACGGAAGATGCTACGGCATTGGACATAATTTAAAAACAACATTCGAATAATAATAGAATTTATGTTACACTTAATGTAAGAGAATAATAATAAATATTTATTATTTAATTTTTCAAATGTAAACTGAACTTTATTGACTATAATGACTCCTTTCCAGTCTTTGATTATTTAATTGTAATTATTTATTTGCTTGCCATCAAAAACTATTTTTAATAATGTCAAAGAAGTATAACTTCTTACGCGCGTACATAAGTACACGCACCCTTTTTTATTATATACTACTTATGTTATCTGTTGCATTACAAAATAAATAAACAGACCCTTATTCACCCTTATGCGTATAACGAATTCCTCTTTGTTTTTTAAAATCATGTAAATTTCACTATCGATTTAAAACTTAATACGTTCACTAACAATATTAAAAATCTTCTTAACCTAACCTATGCTGAAACGGAAAATATTCTTGTCCATCAGTAGTTTAATTATAAGTAAGTGTAATCATCGCTGTAGAATGATAACCTCGTATGTCCAGAGAACCATACATTGCAGGAAACGAAAAAATGTTTCATTTCGTCAATGTTCGTTTGAATATTATTATGTGCTGTCTATAGTTTTAGACTTATTTATTAATAACATAAATAAGTCCTTACTTCATGATTATACCAGATAAATGACATAAGAGTCTAAGAATAAAAAGTAAATGGTTTTTTGACATACGCGGTTATCATCATACAGTGACGTTATGTGGAAATTATTACGTCAAGTACCGTTGATATGTCAAGTGGATGAGCGTAGCTGACCCCGACACAGGGCTAATGCCCCCAAGAATCCCTGTGTCGGGGTCGGGGGGGTAAAAAAGGATTGTTCTTTTCTTCCTTATGTTAAGTGATCTAAAAATGTTGAAGACAAAGTTGGGAATCTTTAGTTTCTGCACATGCCATTGTTGCCGGCTTCAAGCGCAATGGAGATATTCACATATAATAAATATATAATGCTATGTTAACGTCTGTGTAATTACCAGGCTTATAAAACTAAAAAGCCTGAGTCAGCAAAATGTACAAACAGCTAGTACAGGCAAAAGAGCAAGATCGTTTTTAATATGTTTAAAAGTCTCTAAATATAACACTTTTTAATCACGGCCCTATCAACGCACTATCACTAATATTAGGGCCCGGTATTGGCCCTTGCGCTAGCTACTCGGAGTCCAGTCCTGGGTGGCTTCTTCTCAAATGTACTTGGCTCGTACTTTTATTAATAATGTATCTTGTACAGACTTTGTACGATTTAGGTAATGTGACATCATGTTCTATCCGCATTTATCGAATTTTGTTTACACACCATTCGAGTTTGTTTATAAATTCGGCCGTGAGGGAACTTGGCAGAACGCCATTGTAAGCCAAACAAATTTCTCGCTGAAAAAAAAGCGATGAATTACTCAGTTCGCCTGATTTGCATAAATGGGTTGGTCGCTTCGTGTGTTGCATTATGTCATAATAAGGAATTATTGTGTTTAACACGTGTGTGTAATTATCTGTGTTCTAGTGTGTAATTGCTGTGGAAACTGTACCAAAATAGATGTAAGTATTGATTCCCTTCATGTTTAAGCGTAAGATTAAAAATAGCATTGCTCATATACTTTAAATCTTATACGTTTTAGTTTAATGCTTATTTTCATTTGTAGTTTTTCTTTAACAAAGGGTAATTCAATTTCAACTAAAACTGATAAATCACATATAATACGTAAAAAGCAAATGAGTACTTTACCTAATATGTACATTTCATTTTTAAGGCGTAGATTTTCTGTATAAAGAAAAAAAACTTTTTGACCGGATTAATGTTATGTATTATTATAAATTGACAATTATTTAACATAGAAAAAAGATTCTTCCCAAGATTGGTACGCGAAGCCATTGAAATCAAAAAACACCCCAAATTTCAATAGAGAAGACGGCCTAGAATTGTCAAACACCTGGGATCCAATAATATCCAAATTAAAATCTCAAGATAAACAATCCGCGAAAATAGAGGACACCGTGAGCCATTTCTGCCAAAACCCTCCATCTTTTCGTCGATACCAACTCCGAGGAAATAAATACAGATAATGCAACTTTTTCTATAGCTGTTATACTTTTTGACATCCAACACCTTTTGTCTTCAGTCACCGTGACCACGCATTTTTTTTTCTTTAAATGTGTAAAGGTTAAGTCAATAAAAGACTACTATTTTCTGTATAAGTTTAAAAAACCTCGTTAGGCGCTACAACCTCGTTAGGTCAGGGCCTCAGAGTTCTGTAACTCTAATAGGCAAATTTGTCGATCTAATAGGCAAGTAGGTGATCAGCCTTCTGTGCCTGACACACGCCGCCGAATTTTTGGGTCTAATGCAAGTCGGTTTCCTCATAATGTTTTCCTTCACCGTTCGAGCGCATGTTAAATGCGCATAAATGTTCATTGGTGCACAGCCGGGGATCGAACCTACGTCCTCAGGGATGAGATTCGCACGCTGAGCTAAGGCTAACACTGCTCATAAGTTATTCTTACTAATAATAATTGAAAACTGATAAATAAAAAGCTAAAATAAACCTTTAACGCTGGCAGCATTTCCTCGCTGTATTGCGATCTTCGTTGAGCTAGGAAAGCACCAGCTCATCGGTACTGTGAGGCGTCAACTTAAATCTTGAATTATTATTAGTAAAATTATGTGTCTATTCCATTAGAGTTAGATTATAAATAATAAATTTAAGAAATGTATTAAAGAAAAGCTGTGTAAAAAGGCTTACTATAAAGTTAACGATTATCTAGTTGACAAAAGGGCCTGGGACTAGTGCTAGACAGGCTACTTCTAATTAATTTGCGATATTTATTTAAAAATAAGTGTTGTTTGATGATTTGCTATTTTAAAGGAGTACCGAGAGTTATTTTCTCTCGGCCTACACTCTCTGTCTTCTTTGCCGTTGAGTAGGGATGCCTACAGATTCAAATTCAATGACGTGGAATAAGTGATACTTGTATCTTATGTTCCATAATAAAAATATTTTTATTTTTAAATAAAAGCCTTATAATATTCAGGTAGCATGTTTGCGAATGATATTCATGACTGTCGATCTATTAACCTTATTGGCGTATTCCAAAGTCTCTGATCTTTAACAAATACAAAAATTTTGTAGGAGTATGGAGGCTGTTTACCCTGCTGCAGCATCAGCGCTTACACGCGGCAGGCGACGCAAACGCACCGAGCCACGACAGAGACATCGCACTATGCCTGTCACATTTGCTGAAATTAAGGTGAGTCGAAATATAAAGTTCCACAGTTGGCCTTGTCATGAGGTTGTACCTTTATCAAATAGGAGGCAAACGGGCAGGAGGCGCACCTGATGTTAAGTGATACCGCCGTCTATGGTCACTCGCAAGTGCGTGCCGGCCTTTCAAGAATTGGTACGCTCTTTTCTTGAAGACCATAAGTCGAATTGGTTCGGAAATACTTCTGGCAGCTTGGTTGGTGGTGCGCGGAAAAAACTGCCTTTAAAAATGCTCAGATGTGGAATGACGGACGTCGAGGTGATAGGGATGGTAATTTATATACTGCCTTGACGTCCGATGATGAAACTTAGCTGCAGGTATTAGTCCGAATAATTTGTCTGAACACTCTTCATGGTATGTGTCCAATTAACTCGCTTGTATGATGATGAATATAACATCGTAACTTGCCCATAAAAAATGCATGTATTACAGTAAATGTTAAAGTTATTTTTGGAATGTCAGTCGGCTGAATTGGGATTTTTTAAATATTGTAAATTAATTTAGTTTCCGGAATAAAACTTTTTAGGTTTTTGAATTTTTCTGTATCAAGCTCAGAGTTACCTATATGAATAAATGATTTTGACTTGATTCACACTCTCAACCAACACTGCTAACTGCTGCTAACTGCTTCTATTTATTTCCAGGAAGTTGATGAAGACAAGGAAGATGAGCAGATCCCAATGACAGCTTCCAACATATCAATTACAAGCGTTGAGGAGCGACGTCGAAAACCGGATCTTCTAGATGATACACTCGGAAGGCAGTTCACAGAATTTCGCAACAGAAGAACGCGGAGACGCCGAGACATCATCCACGAACCAGATGAGATAGAGGATCACGAACCCAGCGAACAAAGTGAACCCACATAGATTCACACTATGATGCTTTTCTTTTTAGCATATTTTTATAGACCTCCTGTTGGACAGAAGATGCGGGTCTGTTTTTCTTCAATTAACTTTATCAAGCGTTAATTGCACATTTGCGTGTTAAAGCACGAAGTTGCTGTTGTGGTATCTGCTTAACCACATCCTTTAAAAAAATCGGTTGTCTGTAAAGTCGGTTTACTGATGATTGTTGAACGTGACAATGTCATAAGAAAATACTTATGAAATAATTGCATTTTTCAAAAGAAAATTTTAATTTTATTTATTTGATAGATATTTTGTATGGATATAGAGAAGGAGGTAAATGGATATCACAATTGAATTGATCAAGTTACATTTATTTGTACGCATAAATACAATTATGTCAATTTTTTAACGAACGAACGCTGCCGAACGCGGAGGCCGATTGTGCCTCTTTGTCGCTCGTTCCGCGCTCTCGCTTGCACTTCAAGCCTTAAATGGAACGCCTCAGAGCGAGGTATCGCCGCATGCGTCAAGAGCGAGGTAACGCCGTCATGTTTTTTAGTGCGTGCAGCCGGCTCCATCGAATTAAAGACGTTCTCACATCAAAAATACTTAGTTAAATATCTATCATTTGAACCGCTCGCGCCACTCAAGGAGCTGCTCTAGTGTCTTCTAATGGAGAGGCAATAACTGTGTAGTGTGTGGGTTCCGTCAATATTTTTTTTATAGTTAGGACCGAATAAATTTTTCTTTCTTAATGTTTAAAACGTTTTTACAAATAAAATTATAGTGGGCTTCATAACATATTCTCTGATGTTATTATAATAATTGTGTTAAGCATTTGAAATTACAAAAAACTAGCAACCATTTTGTTGCAAATTACACAGTTGATTATATCCGATAGATTCCGAGGTTAGAATCAGTGATGCCAACTTGGGTGATTTTTCCCCAAGTTAAGAGGGAATCAAGATGTCCTGGAGGATTTTTAGGAGATACATTGATCTTTAGGGGGTACTTATAACTTTTAAATGCACGGTTTTATTGGTATAACTTATATTTGGCCTATGGGGCTGTTAAACTAGTACTTAAGCACTTTGATTTTCTTATTTGGTGATATTACCCACACATTGTCTTTGCTTGAAAACGAAATGCATTTCGTGGATTCATATAAAAAATTAATACGTTTATGTACTATTATTTGAGAGCTTTGCTTACTTTTGCTGACAAGAGGAGGGGGGGATAAATTGCAGTAAGTGTGCTTACGGAATACTTGAGGCCCCCTGGAGCTCAAAAAACAAACTAAACCAAATATAACTGAAATATCAAAAGAAATCAAAACCAGAGGAACAACAAAATCTTTAGGGGTTTTTAAAAGATTTTTAGAGGTATTGAAAAGGTACCTATGGGGGTTGGTTAAAATATAAATAAAAAAAAATTTTTTTTAAATCCAAAAAAAGGACAACATGTTATAATATATTAATTGTATATTTATTATATATCAACAAATGTCGAATAGGTTTAAGGAACTTTTGTAATTTAATTTATTAATAAACAATTGAAAAATAATGAAGATTTTTCATAAATTAAATGGGTAGTAAAAATATCACCATAGCGTATAATGTTATAAAGAATTGTTCATAAACATTTTCATAGTTTCGTAAACATAAAATAAATCGCCTTTATTCGAGTACCTACTAAAGAACACTAAATTCAAATTCAAATTCAAAAATCATTTAATCATATGGGTAGCACACAACATTGTACACTTATGATCGTCAAAAAAAGAAATGCATATGAAATGCTTCTAACTTTACATTTAGTGCCAGTTCTCAAATCAAGGGCGTAGAACGGAAGAAAAGAACTGGCAATAAACTCTCCGCCACTCTTTTTAATCGCCATGTTTTGTTTTATACAACGTTTGTAAGGAGCTGCAACCATTACACCACGTTCCACATGACATCTTAAGTAATTAATAGTAATAACATAAATTAAAAACAAAGACTTGTCCTCTATCAGCAGGAGGCATGGTGAAATAGGAGCACGCACTTACATTCTCGTGGAAACAACACGCATACATAGTCTAAATAACTAACACTAAATCCATGGCCTCCTCCAAAATCTTCCACTTCCCTCCTTCTTCTTCTTCTTCTTCTCTGGGCGTCCTCTCTTTCTTCTTCCCACTGGGCCATTCCAAGTAAGGTCTTCTTCACCCATCTGCCATCACAAAAGCGGGAAATGTGACCGGCCCATTTCCACTTTAACTCTTTTGCTTGTGTTACGACGTCTTCTAGTTTGTACGGCTTCGTATCACACCGTTTTTAACTTTGTATTTAAGTTTCAATCGAATAATCCCTCCATAGCCCTTTGGAATACTCAATCTTCTTTATGAGCCTATGACAGACATGGAAGTATTCACGTGTCCGTGACTGTTCTTTTTATACTTAAGAGCGCCCTTCCCCGTCCGACGAACGTCAACGCGAGCATGGCCAAAAAGCTTGTTGTTTCATCCAGCGCAATGTCAGCAAGTGAGAACGCGATAACATTGAAAGAAAAAGAGTGTGCGGAAATTTCATAAAACTTGTTCCAAGAAATACGTGTTTTTTCGTAAGCCTTACAAGATTATGAAAAAAAAAGTTTTACATTTAGAAACTCCATTACATTTGCAAGGTTTCTCTGCAAATATTTATTTCCGGTTACAATTAATGAGTACATTATAAACGCCCAAACTTCATATAAAAATTGGTGCAAAAAGGCTGATTTTTGGAGGTTTGTACTGAATTTGTTTCTTAAAATTTTGATTTCGCGTTTTAATAGAAACCTAGATATAGTGCACAAGGTGCCTATTAGTTCAAAAGTTTCAAAGAAATATCTGTTACAACGCCATAATCACGTACGAGCGTTTGTATGAAAAGATAGACGGGTTGGCCGCTCTTAAGGTCGGATTTCAGAACTTCTTTTAATGCCCAAAATGTTTTCCATGCTAGGCAAACAACTGTTTGTTTTATCTACATGTCGGTGATGACTAAAGGGGGGGGGGGAAAAAGGGGGGGGGGGGGGGGGGGGTGGGGGAGGAAAGGGAGGAGGGGGCGGGGCCCGCGCCGGGGGGGGGGTGGGGGGGGGGTTGGGGGGGGTTGGGCTGTTTGTGGTGTGGGGGGGGGGGGGGGGGGGGGGGTGGGGGGGGGGGGGGGGGGGGGGGGGGGGGCGCGGCGGGGGGGGGGGCGGGGGGGGGGGGGGGGCCCGCGGGGGGGGGCGGGGGGCGGCGGGCGGGCGCGGGGCCGCCCCCGGCGGCGGGCTGGGGGCGGGGGGGGGTGGGGGCGGGGGGGCGCTCCCGGGGGGGGGGGGGCGGGGGGGGGGGGGGGTTGTGGTTTTTGTGGGGGGGGGGGGGGGGGGTTGTGTTTGGGGGGGGGGGGGGGGGGGGGGGGGGGGGGGGGGGGGGGGGGGGGGGGGGGGGGGGGGGGGGGGGGGGGGGGGGGGGGGCGGGGGGGGGGGGGGGGGGGGGGGGGGGGGGGGGGGGGTGGGGGGGGGTGGGGGGGGGTGGGGGGGGGGTGGGGGGGGGGGGCCCGGGCCCGGCGGCGGCGGGGGCGGGGGGGGGGGGGGGGGGGGGGGGGGGGGGGGGGGGGGGGGGGGGGGGGGGGGGGGGGGGGGGGGGGGGGGGGGGGGGGGGGGGGGGGGGGGGGGTGGGGGGTCGGGGGTTGGGGCCGGGTTTCGGGCGGGGGTCGGGTTTTGGTTGGGGGGTTGGGGGGGGGGGGGGGGGGGGGCGGGGGGTGTGTGGGGGGGGGGGGGGGGGGGGTTGGTGCGCCCCCCCCCGCCCCTGTGGGGGGGGGGTGGGGGGGGGGGGGGGGGTGGGGGGCGGGTGGTGGTTGCGGCCCCGGCCCGCGGCCCCGGGGGGCCCGCGGCGCCCGGCCCCCCGCCCCCCCCCCCCCCCCCCCCCCCCCCCCCCCCTGGGGGCCGTTGGGGGCGGGGGGGCCGGGGTGGGGGCGGCCGCGGGCGGCCCCGCCCCCCCCGGCCCCCGCCGCCGGCGCCCCCGCCGCCCCCCCCCCCCCCCCCCCCCCCCCCCCCCCCCCCCCCGCGGCGCCGGGGGGCGGCCCGCCCCGGCCCGGGGGCCGCCCCCCCCCCCCCCCCCCGCCCCCCCCCCTTCCTCTGGGCCGGGGGGGGGGGGCCGCCCCCGCGGGGGGGGGGGGGGGGCGCGGCCCCGGGGGGGGGGCGGTGTGGGGCTAATATTTCGCCCCGGCCCCCCCCCCCCCCCCGAGCCCGGGGGCGGTGGGTGTGCGTCCGCGGGGGGGGGCGGGTGGGGGGGGCCCCCCTACGCAACCGAGGGGGGGGGGCGTTCGGGTGGGGGGGCCCCCCCCCACAAACGAGAGGGGGGCGCCGCCCCCCCCCCCCCGCCCCCCCCCCCCCCCCCCCCCCCCGCGGCCCGGGCCCCCCCCCCCCCCCCCCCCCCGGGAGGGGGGGGGGGGGGGGTGTCCCCCCCCCCCCCCCCCCGGGCATTTCCCGGCCCCCCCCCCCCGCCCCCCCCCGGGGGGGCCCCCCGGCCCCCCCCCCCCCCCCCCCCCCCCCCCCCCCCCCGGGGGGCCCCCCCCCCCCCCCCCCCGCCCCCCCCCCCCCGGAAGGCCCCCCCCCCCACGGGGGGGCCCCCCCCCGCGAAAAAGTGCGCAGACAGAAAGGGGGGGGGGGGGGGGGCCCCCCCCCCCCGGCGGCCCCCCCCCCCCCCCCCGGGGGGGGGGCCCCCCCGGGGGGGGGCGGGGGGGGGGGGGGCGCCCCGGGCGGGGGGGGGGGGGCGGGGGGGGGGGGGGGGGGGGGGGGGGGGAGGGCCGGGGGGCCCGCCCCCCCCCAACCAAAAAAACCGCCACCCCCCCCCCCCCCCCACCAAACTCCCTACTCCTTTTTTTCCCCATCTTTGATTTAACTACGGATCAAAAACCGAACGATATTTGATTCCCTAGGTTTCCTAGTATCGAAAATATATTTAAAAAAAATTAATATTAAAAATATTAAAAAAAAAAAAAAAAAAAAAAAAAAAAAAAAAAAAGAAAAAAAAAAAAAAAAAGAAAAAAAAAAAAAAAAACCTCTTCTTTTTTTTTTTTTTTTTTTTTTTTTTTTTTGGGGGGGGTGGGGGGGGGGGGTGGGGGGGGGGGGGGGGGGGGTTTGTTTTTTTTTTTTTTGGGGGGGGTTTTTTTTTGTTGTTTTTGGGGGGGGGGGGGGGGGGGGTTTGGGGGGGAAAGAAGGGAAATGAAGAAAATATATTTTGTATATTATATATTTTGAGTATGTCTTGGCCTAGAAGATTGACAAGCGGTCATGAGGTACAGAAATGTGAGGCCCAGACCTAAAAAGGTTGTGGCACTGAATTATTTATTTATATTATACTAGCGGACCCGACAGACGTCCTGTACACACAAGTTAAATACAAAATTTCAAAATTAAGAAAAACGTCTAATTGTAAATAATCTGAACTATTCTGAAATCTCGTAAAAAAAATTAAAAGTGTTAATTAAAAATTGATAATAGAAAATGTTAATCAAGATACAAATTGTACTTTGATGGAATGCATCGCTTATTCTTTGATCATACTAAATGTTAATTAAATCGCATTTTCTTTGACGAAATGGAACTTTAATAAACTCTCTATTTTTCATGACTATTTCCAAGAGAGTTTTATTCTGTAACACTCAATAGCGGTTCCTACTTCGAAATTACGAGATTACGTTATAGAAAATAAATTGCACAGTTGCGTTAGAATTGCAATCGGAACTTTCAGAATAGCAATGCTCATCACAATTGTCCCTCAAATATATAATATTAAAGCAGTGATAAACTAGTACTTCAGCGTGGGATTCTCATCACTGAGGTCATAGGTTCGACCCCAGCTGTGCAGAAATGGACTTTTTATGTGCGCAGTTAACACTCGCCCGTACGGTGAGGGAAAACATCGAGAGGTATCTGTCATACCGACCCATGTCACTCATCAATTAGAAAAAACAAACAGACATTGAAATCTCAGGCTAAGACCAAGGGTTATAGCGCCGCTGCCTATTTTCTTATATTATCTTATAATAAGGTCCGCGGTCCGGTCCTTCCACGGTCCGCTTCACTTTCTTTTGCTTACTATACGTAACTATACATATAACTATACGTATTGAACTGTGGAATCGACTCCCGGTAGGGATCATCCCTAGGAGAAACTACCTCCAAAAGTTTAAAAAAAGGGTAGCCTCATAGGTTGGCAACGCATCCCCTTAAAAGGGTGTCCATACGTTGCGATGACAGCCTTTTTTGGCTGTTCTGTCGTTAGCTCCCCAATTCTAAAAACTTGAATCTGTTGGGTATCAGCTGCCCGTCCCTGCTGCCCCATGCCTTTGGTAATCAGTTAGGATCCTAAGAGAGGTTAATAAAAATACATAGATTGATACTTGATGTCAAATAAAAGCAAAAAAAATTTAATACTTTAATTTTACTGTAAAACCAGTCATTCATACAGATTACGTACTAAATAATATCTATTAATAAATAGAAAATGTATTCTAACAAATAAATTATTATATTAAAATAACAATCATGCCTTAGGTACAACATCGTAAATTATTCTTGTCATTAAAACATTATACACACTGGCCGCGCTTTTGATGCGAATTTATTTAATTATTCACAAAAATACAAGTCCTTATAGTACGATAATGTCGAAATTTAAATGAATATTAAATAAGATACACAATATCGCAAACAAACTCACTCTGCGAACATATGAAGATATCAATAGCGTCAGAGACAGCATTCAGTAGCAACGTCTTTGATAACGGGGATCCGTGCAACATACTGGTTCTGGCAAACAACCTTGGCCTTCCCTGTACCACATATCCCATAGATACAAAGAAACAGAGTTCTTGGGTTGCAAGACTAGGTATGTAGTAGACCAATTTCTAATTTATTGTTGAGCTGTAATAGGGGTTCTAATTTCACCAAATGTTATTATTTTACATTAATTATTCAAACATAATTATAATTAAATCAGCCAGACACCATCAGCCGATGCCATTGTATCAACCAATTAAAGTTGAAGATATTTAATAACCTGGATGAATCATGCGCTATTTCATATATGGTCCTTCGAGCCGGACTTTATTCGGTGACCTACGAATGTTTTTACTAAGTTTCAAGGCAAATTCGCACCAACCCGACCTTCTTAAAAAATTAACAACACTACAATATAAAATCCTAGTTTGTAAATAGTAATTTAAATAACATTGCTAAATACTGTTTCAAATATTCACATCAAAATTTACAAATAATATCACTTCATACATTTAATTCTATACTCATATATTTTACTAAAACACACTTAGTTAATAATACTGTACATAATTATTTGTCATGTTGGCTTATCTACGTTTGAGGGTAGTTTCAAATTTGGCTCTTCATGCGACAGCGGTAATGGACGGTAGTTTAAGACACATCTATTTGTATGATAGAGCCATGAGCTACAATGGCGACTGTACACTCTCGTTACAGATACTTTGTCACGGTTGCTGTGTGCTATTAAATCAAAATTAGCGAACTAATGAATTCAATTAATTACACTTTTAAACAGCAAAATTAAACAAAATCTTAAACGATGTACAGGCGCCATAATACTGAAAGATCTTTAAAAATACATATTTCTTTTGGAACTTTCTAGTGTTTGATCAATAACAAGAAATGTCCAGATCCAGTACATACAGTAACTTTTTAAATATAACCGATATTGTTTATGGTTTTTATTACATCTAAAAACCGCACATCGGCTTAATTTTTGGTACCTACATATTCTATTTTGTTGTCCATAAATATATATAACAAAACAACTTATTAAACACTATAATATTATGTACTATATTTATATACAATAAAAAAATGGGGCTTCCACAGAAAGTCTTTATTAGTTTTAAACTGTATTTCGTGTTGATTGTCATGGTTATTTAGTAATTTTCTAATTGTCTATGGTCATATTTGGTTCACAAGGGCCACAACTCCTAATACTAATTTGTGATACACGTTTTGCTAATTTATTTTAAGTCACACTCTTCTGGCTGAATCTCCGTTTCAGCCGCTGATGGTATGGTATGCAAAAGTCGTGGTGGTGGCAAAGCAACAGGTGAAGCTGGGGGCTCATCTGCTACAATCGCTGGCTGTCGTGTTAGTCGAGGTCTGGAACCAGTAGTCGTTGCGCTACCGCCAGATCTGGACGTCTTCCAAGTTCCCGTGGATGCCGTCGCGTTGGACCCAGATGAATCATTACGAGAAGAGGACAGGTTGGAGTCCTGCGAGGTTTTTCTGGCTACGAGCCAGGACGCGGCTTTCCGTGGTGGAGGAGGGGGACGGCCGTACGTCCGCCAAGAGTCTGAGCGGGACGAAGAGAATTCTACTGAAGAAGACACTGAACCAGTACGGGCTGGTGCTGTCGGGACTTGGCGTGGAGTAGGAGGTGCAGGGGTGGTGGATCGACGTCCACAAGCTCGAAGCCAACGTAGGAGCCTCTCACCGTTCGCTTCTACAGAAGCAGTATTTGTATTAGTTTCACTGACAACAGGAGCACTTGTTGGCAACAGTCTTCGGCAAGCACACGTCGTTCCGTGCTGTCCTCTAGACGACCTTTCCGCCAAACTGTTCGTGTTAGCCGGCGTCTGTCTATTACTGAAGTTAGACGAATGCCTACACCTTCCTATACCTCGGGTAACTCGCGACTCTTCAATCGCTTTACACACCAGAGCGCAGTCCTTCTTAAACTGCTTCGTCAGAATCGCATACAGAAACGGATTGCAGCAAGAGTTTAATGGCAGAACAAATACAGTGAAGACTTTGGCTTCCTCCAAAGATACTAATTGCGCTCCAAAAGCCGCAGTCAAAGCGAAGAAAGCTATCGGGGACCAGCACAAGAAATCCGTAAAAACTAGTAGAGCCATGCGTTTTGCGATACGAGAGTCGTTGGAGTTCCAAGCCTGCGATCCACGGATCGCGCAGTACATTTTAAGGTAGCATCCTAGCAGGACAAGGAATGCGATTCCGTTGATAACCAATAGAGCGACCACGTAGGTGAGGGAGACGGGTGTACTGGTCTCAAAAGGGAGGCAGACAGCGAATTTTCTATAGTCCGACACACCTAACAGTGGTAAAGAAGCAGCTGTCAGTGAAAAGGCCCATCCAGCCGCCATTACAACGGCAGCGTGTCGGAGAGATAACCGCTTGTTTAAATGCATAGCGTGGGTGATCGCGTAGTTTCTTTCGAGGGTAATAACAGCGAGGGTGTAAACAGAGAGTTCGGAAGAGAGCACTCCTAAAAATCCCGCGAGCCGACATCCACCAGACATTTGCCAGGCGATAGCGTGGGATCGGAATTCTCCCAAAGTGCCAGCGTCGACCACCGCTAGGAAACCTGAAAATTAAAGGAATATAAATTAGTTTTATTATTTATTTTATCTCTTCGTCCCAAGTATACAAAAATACAGTACAATTAGTATAAATAAACTATGCTATGCAAGTTTTGGAGTCAAGAAAAACATTCTGATTTTTTTTTATTACCCAAATAGATTCCCATAAAGAAGTCAGCGGCAGCCAGATTCGTCACCAAGAATCTTGGAACGTCTATACGGCTTCTGCTAAACACCAAGACGAACACCACGGTACCATTCCCCAATAACGCGAGGAGGAACACAGCCCATACACCGCACCGAAGTGTCCACCAGTCAAAAAGGTCCACGCATGGAAGAAATGGTCCTGAAATATAAAATAAGTCAATTCTAAAAGTTTGATCAAATAGTTACGAGTGGCGGTTTTTGGAGGGATGTTCAAATAAATAACTCTTGGCTTTAATTGTTTAAAACATGAGCTTATAACTAACATAAAATTAGTGGAAGTGGGGTTGCGACGCTGGATTAACAAAAAACCAACTTGACTTAAATTAATATGTATATCTAAGTGACATTTCTTTTACCTATAAAGTATATAAGTGAAGTCGACCTATTGCACATTATCGGAAACGAGAATGTTATATTATAATTTATGAGTGTACGAGTGTATTTTGACGACCAAGACAAATCTTATTTTTTGACGGTATTAATAAGTTATTTGACAGATCTGATAAATGTATTAGGGAGCGTTCAAGTATTACGTAACGCAATTTTTGGAGACTATTGACCCCCCCCATGTAACTCGCCGTAACGTTTTTCAGTACCCAAGTACAGTACTGTATCCAAGTCTAGTAAAACCTTTCGTGACCACCTAGTGACTCTTTAGTTACTATTATGTGGTGTAAGTCGAAAATAATACTAACAATAACGCGTAATTCAATCCCCGCCTCGCATCGTAACGTTTTACAAAAGGACCCCCCCAAAACTCGTTACGTAATACTTGAACGCTCCCTTAGGTTTAAGGAAGAATACATTGAAAATGATAAATAATTTAATTTGATTCCTCGTTAAAACTAAACCGCTCATTTATTACTACCAAAACTGTCGTTTTAAAATTTATTGGCTACAAGTAAGTAACATTTGGCTTGCGCTTCTAATAACTTGAAGACTCGATAACTCGAAGACTTTTAATAATAATAATAAATCGTTTATTTGCAAAGAAAGTGGTACATTCAGATCAGCGTTGCCAGATTTCTTTTTAGTCAAGTCGGGATTTTGGCACTTTTAAAGTGAAAAAAGCGGGATTCATTTGTCGAAAGCGGGACATAGTAAAAAAAATTAAAAAATCAGAAGTTTTTAAATATTTATGTTTTTAATTGAGTTGAAATCACGTTTGCGTGACAATAGACAGCGAAAATAGTCACAGAAAATGTATTTAAATCAGATTAAACCTATAGTTAAATAGTTCTTATTCAACTTCTGATTAAAAAACAAAAAAAATCAAAATAAAAAAAGTTTTATTAATTAGAAAAATATAGCGTTTCAAACAATAGTCTATAGAGTGAGTGTTTCAAATTGCAACTTACAATAAGAGAGTAATTATTTATAAGAATTACTTATTCATAATATTTCTCGTTTTGGAAAGCAGTTTGATGGTAGGATACTTAATAGTTTGAAGATAATCCTGGTAATTTCTTTTGGATACTGTTGGTACCATTATTGTGCGGTGGTGGTAGTACACACTTCTTATTGCCATCGAGTTATTCCCGAAAAGCGGGACTCAACCTGTCCCGCGCGGGACATTTCATTTTGATTTAAAAATCGGGACGTCCCGCCAAAATCGGGACGTCTGGCAACGCTGATTCAGATCGATCGATTTTGAATTCTTGGTAATAAGAAATTTATTTCCCATGAGTTTCAAATTATCGAGAGTCGAAGAATGAATAAATACCTGGTAGTGGTAAGCAGCGAACTTGTCTTCCAGCTGAACGAACCTCAACGCCACTCCAGGTTCCAGCTGCCGGTAGACGAGAGCCACCTTCGCCTGTTGCGTTTACTGAAATATTTGTTAACATAGGTTTTATAATCACGTCCATCACGTCCAAACGTAGCGAGTTCCAGTTCAAACAATTTCTATGACTTAAAACTTTATTATTGAGTGACGGAGAGTTTCTTGCCCGCTCTACGCCCTTGACTTGCGAACTGGTAGTAAATGTAAATTTACAATTAATTTACCTTTTTTTGACGTTCATAAGTGTACTTGTTTACCTATATGAATAAAGATATTTTGAGTTTGAGTTTGAGAAACTAAATAAATTGAGAGTGGGGACGGCTACCACTGGTACTGCCTTGACGCGACTAGGCGCCTCGCGTGTGTGACGCCGGCTTTAGATATATAAAAAAAAATTACTTGACGACTCTGAGTACGACTGTAAATTTGTTTTAATAAATATTCATTATAAAGTACTTACAATAATGCGGCCATATGTCCGTTGCATTCGCCCAGGCAGCTAAGTCCACATGGGCTGGAGGAAGCAGCACCAGGTCACTGAATCCTTCTCTCTCCCATTCCTCGCCACTTCCCGTCTCCTCCATTAGTGGAAGGAACTCGCAGCAGTGGTAAGCGTAGGAGAGGACCAGGGTCTAGAATTTAAGACGTCAAGATATATCACACAGAAATATTGAATTCGACGTAATAACAAGGTATAAGAAAAATTTATTTAGAAAAAAACAGTGTATTGATAATCTCCTTTATTAAAAGGGATATCCATATCTCATAAACGATTAAACCGATTTTGATGAAACTTTTCCTTTATTGGAATAGCTGATATGATTTTGATTACTTGATTAGTTTTAGTTAAATTTTTAACATTTTAACAGGTAATTAACTTTATAATAACGAAGTATCCGATAATCTGGATTAAGCTCAACCTAAAGCTGTCATTTTAAGTCCAAACTTAAGTATAACTCCCGTATGTCAGAATCAAGTACTGTTTTCAATCTGGTTATCTTATAGTGCCTTCTTTCGAAGGTTGGAGATCATCAAGGCATGAATTTTGGATGTTTCTGAACAATGACCTGATGCTTTGAACAAACCGAAGATTCGTTGACAATGACGATTTTATGAAGATTCTTTGATAGGTAATCTGGAATTTTTGGTTCGAAATATTCTAGTTTCCTTCTCTTTTGCTTGCCGTCCAGTTTTCCCTAACCCCAGCGAGTGCAAAACTCTCTCTCTATATAAATCTAAAGTGACAGAAGAGCGTGTACTTTACTTGTATCCTGGGGAAGAGTTCTGGAGGGTGGAAGCGGCGTAAATTTGGATTATTGTGGGCCTTCAAGTGGAGTAGCTTCTGCAGACCACTGGCTGGGAGACTGGGGAACACGTTGTTGCCTACATTCCTGAAATTGAATATCATTTATTAGATCTAGCTATTCGAAGGGGGAACGCTGCCAGTATTTCCGGAACCTTGCCTAAAGGGACTCCCTTTAATAATATATTTTAGTTATTATATTTTAAGGTTAGTTATTGATTTTCTGTGTAATATTATACGTTTAATATCATACTAATGATATTTTAGCAAGAGCAGTGGCCTAGTGGCTTCAGCGAGCGACTCTCATACCTGAGGTCGGTAGGTTCGATCCCCGGCTGTGCACCAATGGACTTTCTTTCTATGGGCGCATTTATGTTGTGCAGCTTACTTTACTTACTTTACTAATTTAATTCGCTTGATCGGTGAAGGAAACCATCGATAACGAGAAACCGACATGTCTTAGACCAAAAAGTCGACGGCGTGTGTCAGGCACAGGCGGCTAATCACCTACTTACCTATTAGTTTTAAAAATGATTATGAAACAGATTCAGAAATCTGAGGCCAAGACCTAAAGAGGTTGTAACGACACTGAAGGTGATTAAAGCTCTTTTAAGATTAAACATTTTCAATAAAAAAAATTGATCTGTTGTATTTAACAAAATACTACCATTACTGATTACTCCAATGCGGTAACTTTTTATATCACATAAAACATACATACACACATAAAAATACACAACATTCAACAGTTATAGATTAAAATAATATTTACAAATTCTATTTCTTACAGTATAGGAACTGACATAACCCTTTTGTCAGTTCACTCAACATACAATTAAAAATGTCTGTTTATTATTTCCATATATTTTTTTATAGAACAGGGGGCAAACGGGCAGGAGGCTCATCTGATGTTGAGTGATACCGCCGTCCTTACTTTCAGTGCCAGAGGGCACGCGAGTGCGTTGCCGGCCTTTTAAGAGTTATTACGCTCTTTTATTGAAGTACCCTAAGTCGAATTGGTTCGGAAATACTTCAGTGGGCAGCTGGTTCCACATAGTGGTAGTGCGCGGCAAAACCTGCCTCAAAAAACGTTCAGTTGTGGAACGATGTACTGCAGGTATTAATCCGAACAATTTTGTGTCATATGTGCCCTTTCGAGAGAATACTTTTCGCTGAGGATACGAATAGTAATATAAAATAATAATTAATTAGATTCCTAAACTTTTCTCAGGAATTGCACGATCTTTTGTTGAGAAAAGTTCAGTAGTTTTTTATTTTATCGTCCTTTATAGAGAGATAGAGAACGCCGGGTGGTATAAGGATTTTTTTTTTAATAGTTAGTTTTGAACATAGTTTAAAAGGCATGTGTTTAGTGTTAGTTAATAATAATAGCCTACGGTACCAATGTGTATAGTAATATACAGTTTCACGTGATTACCGTTGCCCGATTTCGCAAGTAAAAGCATTCTAATCTGTCCAGTAAATCGGGGCAGTAAACAAATATTCAAAAATACAAATCTTTTCATATTAGTTATATCAAGCTTAGTAAAATATATTTAATTATTTTATTATCTATAGCCAGTGCCAGAAACGATACGATTCATATAGCAGATTTGAAGATAATATTTACTTATTACACACATGTATTTGCACTTCATATAATTATTTATAAATATATTTGTGAGCTATATTATTATTAAAACAAGAAAAGAGAAATTATGGATGATCAGTTGTTTATAAAGAATGATTTTTATACTATATTTTTTAACAGTGCAGTTATATTAACAACACAATTAACACGGTATCTTGGTTCCGCGTTATAGGAAACGCGTTGAGCATTCGCATAGCGCGCTTGTATATAACGCGTTATGTACAAATGATTCACGTTTAACTTTTCTTTAAAGGGGATTTAAATTAAATATTAATAAAACAACTATGTTATCGAAGTGCGTACAAAATTTATTACACAGTATAAAAATGTGTTCAATTCCCGCGTTATATGAGGAACCTGTGTTAAACGAGGGAATTAAATCGCGTAATATAAAATGTTATAAGGGGTTCACTGTATATGATACAAGCTGACCCGGCTAACTTCGTTCCGCCTAACAGTCTAATAATATCGTGGTAACTTTAGTTAAACTTAATTTAGAAATTCATTAATACAATAAATAAATAAAAATAATTGGATACTTTTATTGTATTGGTAAAAATCGCTTCGAAAATTAGCATTATTTGTCATAAAAAGTAAGTGACAAAAAAAATGTTATTGTGGGTTATCCATAAGAGATAGACATATATCCTATTAGAGTTTTCTGTAGACCTTTTCAATGTGTATATTTAGTACATTATTTTGATAAATCTGGTAGGGTTCGCAATGTAAGCGGAAAAAATCTAATTATTTACGACGTGAAAATGAAAATGAAAAATGTTTATTTGTATCTCAAATTTTACATTAATTACATGAGTTGAGACAGCCCCCGTAAGTAGTCAGAGACACTTGTGTTGGGGTTGGCTCGCTACTTCCCTTATTTATACAATACTAGTGGACCCCACAGACGTTGTCCTGCATGATATTTAAAGCGATTAGGATATTAAGCAAAGTATGAAAGTACCGACTGCAGTGCCATCTGCCGGGCTGATTTGCGAATCTAAACCATTCCCAGATCCCCTTGAACACACACAAAAAATTTCATCAAAATCGGTCCAGTCGTTTGAGAGGAGTTCAGTCACATACACACGCACAGAAGAAATATATATATTAAGATTGAGACAGTTGTTAGAAAAGAATACAAAACAAAACAAAACCCAGCTAAGAAGCAAAGCCGTTTAAAAAACGACATCACATTAGAAACCTCAAAAATAACAGTATTTCTCCACTATTTAATGGATGTTATTATACACATAAACCTTCCTCTTCAATCTATCTATTTAAAAAAACCCCATCAAAATCCGTTGCGTAGTTTTAAAGATTTAAGCATACATAGGGATATAGGGACAGAGAAAGCGACTTTGTTTTATACTATGTAGTGATTATTGCCTTATTATTAATAGGTGTAAGATAACTTCTCTTATACTTACAAGTCTTCCAATTTAGTGATCGGGACGAAAGCCTCCAAGTCTATGTGATCGATTTGATTGTCTTCCAGGTCACTATAATAAAAAAAAAAAAATCATACTTTGTTTAAATTTATTACTAACGAAACATACACATGGTGCAATGTTGGCCTAGTGGCTTCAGCGTGCGACTCTCTTCCCTGAGGTCGTAGGTTCGATCCCGGCTGTGCACCAATGGACTTTCTTTCTATATGCGCATTTAACATTCGCTCGAACGGGGAAGGAAAACATCGTGAGGAAACCGACATGTCTTAGACCCAAAAAGTCGATGGCGTGTGTCAGGCACTGTAGGCTGATCACCTACTTGCCTATTAGATTTAATGATCATGAAACAGATTCAGAAATCTGAGGCCAAGACCTAAAGAGGTGGTAGCGCCACTGATTTATTTTATTTATATTTTATCTTTATTCCCCATAGCTTTCTGATGTCAACTACCCCCTAAATATCGATGGAAAACTCTTGGAATCACTGCTGCTTATTAATATTTTTAAAGTTCTTAGAGTCTCTGAACTAAATCGTATCATTAAAACTTCGTAAGTTAAATCTGTAAGTCAAGTTGCAAAATACGTTCGTTAGTTACGAACGAACGTATTTTGCATAACCGGAACTCGAATACAAAAGCGACAATTATTCTAAGGATAAAGTAAAGTATATTTATTTTTTTATGTTTATTCATTATCTCCACATAATTATTCTACCTTAATAGTTATTACTTATGCGATAGAACTACACAATACCTACACCGATAATCCTTTAATTAAATAAATTGTGCGTGTACTAGGTGTAACACGTAAGAAGTGAAACTTCTTTATGATCTTATTTTTCGAAAAATGATCTAGGTACTATACGCAACTTTACAGAAATTCGTTAAATTAGATAAAGTTTAACAAAAGGCTTTTATTATCATAGACATGAATACAAATATTTCATTTTACCTTATTACTACGAAGATTATTATAGAATTTCATTAATTGTAATATAATATTATATCATTGAAAAACGTGACGATTTGCTACAAAATTTCTCCCATACGTCGAAGAGTTTTCATAAGCCGAAAGAAGTTTGACTTCAAAAAGCAACATGGCGCGTAACCGAAAAATGTGACGCGTAACGAAAAAATGTTACACTAAATTTTTTCCAACCTCGATAAAGAAGTTTCACTTCAAAAACGTTAAAAAAATATATAATTAGTATAACTATGGCAATAACTGTAACATTAAAACTTTTCTTTTTACAACTTTTTAATTATTTTGAATTTGGAACACGTATATTATTTTATTTTACTTTTTTCGAATATAATTTAGCATACAATTCAAACAGTTCGTCTATGTCTATGAATACATTTTTTTAGGCTTATCTGATGTTAAGTGATAAGTCAAGGGCCTCATAGCCTAGCGGTCTTATTAAGTGGCAGCTAGGTGAGGGGTACCGGGTTCGATTCCCGGTTCGAGGGCAAGTTTTAATTTAATTTAAATTTGTTCTCGGCCTTTGGGAGGGTTGTGCGGTACCGGGCGAGTGCTTAAACCGTACATGGAGGACACGGTCGAATTTCTAAAGACATGCACGAATTATGAAAAATCCTATACGTGACGCTGGCTAATGCAGAAATCGTGCCAGAGCCATTAAAAAAAAAAGTTATAAGTCAAAGAGCGAGTGCGTTGCCAGCCTTATAAGAAGCAAAAACTCAGTTGTGGAAATAATATAGTCTATGACCTCTGTCAAATGTCACTTGGAAAGTACAGATTGCACAGAAAACTTATTGCATGTTATTGCTGACAGTCCTGATATTTTCGAGAGATTAAAAAGTGGTATTCAATTCCTATAATTACATACATTAATATTTATGCGTCATTGTTGAGATAAATGAAATTGCAGATTACCAAATTTAAAATTCAGGTCGATTCGGAGATATTTCATGTCCATAACAGGCGATCATTGGTATCGTAATTACCATCTTTAATTTGTAATATTGTCTTTGGTGGCAAAGCAAAGACAACGTGAAATAAGCAAACGCAGGAATGAGTTGGTCCTTTATTTTCTAACGCCATTTTAATGCGTTAAAAAGAGATAAAACAATATTTGTTACGTTACGTAGAATCGTTGACTTTTACAAATACGATACAATTTAATTGCATCTAAAAGGCTTAAAAGCATCAACATAATTAAATGAGCTTATGACTACGTAGCGCACAGAGTGTTACATAGACGTCTCTTTCACTCATACACATAAGTCATCTAATGTTTAGAGACAAATAGATGGGTTGGCTTTATATGGCTTAGTTCTTCTAGTCCTAGTAGCTAGGCGCGATCAGAGTAGATATCACCAGTATCATGGTCCTTTTATGAAACCCTCTATGCTTTTGTTAAGTGACCCTGCGCAAGAGTATTCCAAATGGAAGTCGAAGGAAAATTAAAGTATGTATTTCGTAATTTTTTTGTTCTACTTACAGTAATTGAAGTCGGCTGGTTTGCAAGAATGCATCAGATGGTATCTTCTTGATGCGGTTCCTGGCCAGCATCAGGTCATGAAGGCGTCGCAGACCACGCAACGCCCCATTCCCAATTGTCGTTATTTTGTTATCCGACATATCCCTGTAATGAAAAATATTGTACTAACATTTGGTCATAGATAACAGAGGGTAAACGTAGATTATTTCTATGTCCTGTGGAGCTAAGTAAATGTTACTTTACTTTTATTCTGAAGATGGAATAAAAGCTAGAAAGGATTGGAAAATGGTGGGGAGGATGAGAGACAAGTATTTGTGTAGAAAAAGAAGGAGGTATTCACTCTGTTGGTGTTCTAACAAACGTTGTGTAAAACAAATAAAATGTATATGTGGCGAATAAAAAGAGTGGCGGAGAGTTTATTGCCAGTTCTTCTCTTTCGTTCTACGCCCTTGATTTGAGAACTGGCAGTAAATGTAAAATTAGAAGCATTCCATACATATCTTTTTTTTTGACGATATAAGTGCACATTGTGTTACCTATATGAATAAAATATGATTTTGACTTTAGACTTTTGTTCGTGTACTAATGTTAAACATGAACTCGAATACAGGCTATTTTTTTAATGGTAATTTAGTGTCATTTATTATTTTACCATCATAAGGAGTTAACCTAGTGCCTTATGAGTGACAACCCCCCTCTTCTAAATGCGAAATTAGCACGTTCCTACAGTTCGTAACTTCATTACCATCTTAAAAAGCACAACATATTTGTTAGGCACAGAAGACCTTATACTTAAATTAAATCTGTATTCATTAAAGTCCAGAGCCATTAGATTATTATGAAGTGTACAATGAGTTAGAGCAGTGTTGGCCTAGAGTTACCGACCGATGTTAAAAGTGCTTTTGAATAATGGTGGCGCTTTACAGAAAAGAGACGCTCAAATTGGTTATATAATTTATTAAAACGTAAAACTTAATGGGCAGTACACAAAGAGAAGAAAGATAAATGGGCAAAGAAAGAAACAGAGTCCCTAGGGATGGAAAGAGAAGCAAGAGAAGGCAGGTGAGGCATTGGGAGGACGATATATGTATGACGCTGGTGTGTGATATAGAAAAGCGAAGGACACATCAATATTTGGAGGAGACCTTTGAAAGGAGGCTTAGAAAATTAAAATTCAAAAAGTTTGGTCCCTGTGGCAGTGTACCTTTAACACTGGCAGCGCAGCTAGGTGAGGGGTACCGGGTTCGATTCCCGGTTCGAGGGCAAGTTTTAATTTAATTCAAATTTGTTCTCGGCCTTTGGGAGGGTTGTGCGGTACCGGGCGAGTGTTAACCGTACATGAAGGGCACTGTCGAATTTCTAAGACGGCACGAATTATAAAGTCCTATACTTGACGCTGGCTAATGCACAAATCGTGCCAGAGCCATAAAAAAAAAAAAAAACACTGGCAGCATTTCTTCACTGTATTGCGATACTTATTCGTTGGGCAAGGAAAGTACCAGCTCTGGGGTCACCAGGCGCCAACTTAAATCTTTAATCAGCGCCTGTGAACCCCACGGCCCAAGAGTCTCTCCATAGGGAACAAAATCGAAGTTGGAGGAAAGACTCTTATATTTTAGCCGTTTTTATTTTCCTTTTTCAATTTATTCTAATCTTCCAATTATTAAATTTAAATAAATAATTGTATTAAAAAAACTATTGCATGGAATTTGATGAAACTTGTACCCTAGTTGGAATTGCGATTTAAATGGAGAAGAATGAATGAGATCGAGTCTCAGTTTCCGACAAATTTGTGGATATAAAATAATTTTTTTTTTTTTTTGATTAGCACACAGGCTTGCCTAGAGTTATCAAATTTTATAATCCCAACAAACCTTCTTTTAAGGCAGTTAAAAATATATCGAAATAGATTACTAATACTTACAGGACCCGAAGTTCAGAACATTCGTGAAGATCAGGTACTTCGTCCAGTTGGTTTGATCTTATATCTCTGAAAAAAAAACAATGAGTTTCGGTATGGGTAGAAATGATTTGGAAATACGTCGAAAATAACGGAGGTTAGCGTAGCGTTAGAGGTCGCGTTAAATATTCTACAAATCTCGTATAACCTCCATTTATCTATATTATATATATATATATTAATTAACTTACATTATGCCCTAAAACAGAAGTGGCAATGGGCGGGGCATATAGCAAGATACACAGATAATAAGTGGACCTTTAAGACAACTGTATGGACCAAGAGGAAGAAGGAGAAGAGGTCGCCCAAAAAAAAGGTGGATAGAAGAAATAGAAGCGGTAGCAGGAAACGAATGGAGAAAGAGGGCCATAGACAGAGTCAGTTGCAAAAAGCTGGAGGAGGCCTTTACCAGTGAAGGGATCCCGATCGACGTTACTGAAGGAAGCTTGGATATATTGGATAACAAGCAAAAGAAAAAAAATGTAAAATAATCTAAGCTGTATATTATTATTTGTTTTTGTCATGATTGCAAATAAAACGGGCTTCATTGTTATTATATTAATTAAAAAATCTTTTTACCAATAAAAAATATTTTTTTATTTCTATTGACTGTTCTTTTATTAGAGAATTAAATGTATAGTGTTCATTTAGACAACTCAACGGTATTGTTCATCAGAATGCCAAATCATAAAATGACTGCATCACGACTGATTTGAGAGCGACCGCCGATGCGAAAACCGCTGTGTGAGTTCGAAAAGTGAGTTACAGAATCGCAGGGCTGGTGAGCTTCTTGCCCGTTTGCTCTCAGTTCTATAAAAATAAATTTGAAACATCGTTTCGTATATTTCTATTAAAATTCTCGCTTAATAGCGATCAATCAACCTGATTACATATTGCATTGTTGGCAGGGCGCTTACAGCCCACTCATTAATTTATACTACAGAAATAATCTAATTATTATGAAAGATACAAGTAATACCCGCGGGTTTACCTGCTTACATACACATTTAAGAGGAGCAATGATAATAATTTATTTGCAAGAATATGGTGGTGCAATCGAAAGGTCGCCACACATAATGGCGTGCAAATTTGAACATTATGAATCATGTCAAATAGTCAATTCTTATATTATTAGTAGCGATTAAATATCACATTATTAAAATATATTATTACACAAGTTTCATTAGAGCAGTGTTGGCCTAGTGGCTTCAGCGTGCGACTCTCATCCCTGAGGTCGTAGGTTCCGCACCAATGGACTTTCTTTCTATGCGCGCATTTAATATTCGCTCGAACGGTGAAGGAAAACATCGCGAGGAAACCGGTTTGGCTTAGACCCGGAAAGTCGACGGCGTGTGTCAGGCACAGAAATCTGAGGTCCAAACCTAAAAAGGCTGTAGCGCCATTGATTTATTTTTAATATTACACGCAAATAATCATTGATATAATAAATAGTTTTCCGGAAGTAGTACATTAAGTCGATTTTTAAAAACTCTAGTAGGAAGATCTTTTAATGTTTTTCGTAAATTATAATAACTTTAGTAACTCTCTGGTTAGGTGATATTATTTTAACATTGTAAGGCATGTTATAGTGTAAGATTCTAAGTGTTATGTATACAGATACAGAATTACCAGCCACTTCCTTTTGACCAAATAAAGCGAAGGGTCGAAATTGTCAATCTCCAACGAATGACTGATCGGACTGATTCTCTTTCTCTACGCAGAGACATTGCTTCTCTTTGCGTTTTCTACAAAGTGTACAACGGTGAGTGTTCTGAAGAATTGTTTGGGTTGATCCCTCCTGCCTGGTTTCACAGAACGAGCCGTATCAATGCAAAATTTCATCAACATCACCTTGATGGCTGGAAATCTTCCACAGTCCGTTACACAAGGCACTTCCCTATAACTACCTAGAACGAACTAGAGAACTATGGAATCGACTCCCGATGGTCTTCCCTGAGAGGTACGACCTCCAACTATTCAAAGTTAGAGTGTACTCTTCAAAGGCCGGCAACGCACCCACTAAAAAGGGCCATGTGCTGCGATGATGATGCCCTTTCCTTTATCATCGGAGTTACGCCCCGAGAGTATAACCTCTTCGACTGTTACATTACATTCATTCGTTACAAAACAATTAACATTTCATTATTTCGCTCATATTCTTTTGTTGTACGCTAGTTAATATAGGGTAAAAATTAAATTCTCTATTATTTAAAGCACCTTGAAGAGCCAGGAACTGTAGTTACACTATTAAAAATAGAATAAATCATATGACCCATTGAACAATCACTTCCAATGTAATTCTTTTATATACAGACCAACACTACACTTTTATTATGACTAACTGAATTAAATGATAACATTATGAGCTGGGATTATAATTCAAATTTGAATATGATTATTACGTTGAGGGATATGAGTGATTAGATCTTTTGTAATTGAATTGCAGCCCATACATACAACGAGCTTTTAAGCCTTGACTTGTTCAAGCTATCGCGGAATCTCAAAAGGTATTAAGTATAAGAATATCAATAATAATCACGTGTATCATGAGCACACCCCACATACCAGCCCTCACGTTCATACCCTTAGCGCAAAATCATCTGTATCATGAGCCACATCAGGTAAATAGCGTATTTTCACACCATCACAACACAGCCGAATTAGGTTACTTAGTTAAATGTAATAATAATTTTTATTGTTCCTTCTGAAAATGTTTGAACGTTTTTGTATATATTATGTATTTCATCTTTGGCTTTGTGTTTAGTTTAATTGTTTTTTGTTATAGAATTTATGTTATCTGTAGGATTACGAAATAAATATTCAGTCCCTGCATCTTGGCAGGTTAGACATTCGTTAATTGTCTTATGAGCAGTATTGGTCAGTACTTGAGAACTTTACTCTTCAAAGTCGGAGGCTGAAGAGTCGAAAAGAAGAGTCATCTTGGCTGTGTACCAATGTACTTTCTATGTGCGCGTTTGATTAAATTTAATAACGTACGGTGAAGAAAAACATCGCGAGAAAAAAGGGCATTTTTCCTTTAACTTTGTTGTGTTATAGTTTATGCAAAATCACTTCGTTCGCTGGCGCGAAAATTATAGTGAATCAAGTTATAATTCAAGGAGTGTTTAATATCCTACCCCTGATGTAGGTATTGCTATTAAGAAAAATCATCACGAAACAGATGCAGAAATCCGAAGCCCAGACTTTCTGGGTCTAATGCTTGCCGGATTCCTTGTGTTTTCCTTCATTATACGATATAAGACATAGGTGGTGGACCCTATCGGACAAGCTCAGGGTTATGGGTCAACAAGACAGACCAGTGATGGTCTATGCAGACTTCTCCATACTAGCATATTCCTTACAAGAAAAAATCCAGTACTTACAGTGCTCGTAGTTGAGGAGCATGGGCACATAAATGGGTTGGCAGCTTGGTGAGTCTTGCACGGTCCACTCGGAGCGTCCGGAGACGTGTAGACCCGTTCAGCGATGGAATACCAAGTAGACCACGGGCTTCTGATAGAATTCTGGAAAGATATCATTTAATTTCAGATGATTATTGACATGTCTTCCTAATTAGTTTGCGTTATCTAACGCCCGTAATGTAGCGTTGGGTGACGTCACCCATACGTTGTCTATAAATAACATCGGAGTAGGTTTCCTAGAGAACGTTGAATGTCACTGTAACGTCAATTAGTGGTGCTGTCATTTGCATGACGGCCGTCATAGCGGTGATAAACATTAGTTCAACGTTTTTCACGTGTAGCGGTGCCCATATTTAATTAATACAATGAGTGGAAACGTGACTTGGACGAGCGAAAATGATTGCTTTTTTTGCATTATGTTAAAAAGTAAAGACGGCCGTTATTAACAACCGTAAAATGAAGGCCGTTAGTTAACGGCACCGCTTTTCTAGGAAACCTAAGCTTAAAACTCCAAATTACCAAAGCCAGTAAAAATGTTCTAAATTTAAATTTACTGCCAGTTATCAAATCGAAAGAGAAGAACTGGCAATAAAGTATATGTCATAGTATTGTCTTTGATTGACATAACCTTTACACATTTAAAGAAAAAACTTTTTGACCGGATTGAAGTTATGTATTATTATAAATTTACAACTATTTAACATAATTTTAAATTTATCCGAAGTTTCGCGTGCTTTACAGCGTGCGTGGTCACAAACCCTCCATCTTTTAGTCGATACCAACTCCGGGGAAATAAATACAGATAATGCAACTTTCTCTACAGCTGTGATACTTTTTGACATCCAACACCTTTTGTCTTCAGTCACCGTGACCACGCACGCTGTAAAGCACGCGAAACGTCGGATAAATTTAAAATTATGTTAAATAGTTGTATAATAGTTATAATAATACCTAACTTCAATCCGGTCAAAAAGTTTTTTCTTTAAAAGTATATGTCACTCATTTAATTCGCCAAGGTTTTTTATCAAATTACTAGCTGACCCGGCTAACTTCGTTCTGTCTAACAGTCTAATTATATCGGGTTAACTTAAGTTAAACTTAATTTAGGATTTTTTACATTGATACAATTTTTTTTGCAAATACAGAAATGTTTTATTGCTTGCCATTGCGAAAGAAGAATGACAGTTTTACACATTGGGCCTCTTCTCTCTAGCGCCAATATTGCGATATTAAAGCACTTTCTAATATACACCATTTTTTGATGAGGTAACACATGTCTTAGAACAAGATCAAAGCCTGGTTATGCATCTCCTCATTCACTTCATGATCGGAATTTCTTGAACTGACACGAATTCGAAGTAAAATGATGCGTAATTTTGTCAACAGATAGCACCACATGATGTTTGCATTCGTAAAATGAATTAATTTTTGATTGTTATTCGATCTTATCCTATATTTTATTACTTATTCTGCTATTCGGAGCGGAGAAGAATCCACCAAAAAAGAGATAACTAACATCGGTCCAGCCGATCTTGAGTTATAAGTGGTGTAACTAACACGACTGTGTTTAATATAGTTAGATTTGTGCACACAACCATTATGCTCCTCATCACATTTTAAAGCAGTTCATTAGTAATAATAATAATAATAATAATAATAATAATAATAATAATAATAATAATAATAATAATAATAATAATAATAATAATAATAATAATAATAATAATAATAATAATAATAATAATAATAATAATAATAATAATAATAATAATAATAATAATAATAATAATAATAATAATAATAATAATAATAACAATAATTTATTTATTCCAAGAATATGGTACAAAAGAAGGTGGTACAATCGTAAATCGTTCGCATATTCTGCCACAGACAATGGCACGCAAATTTGTCTTTAAAGGAATTTTTACATTATTAGTCAATTCTTATATTATCTGTATCGTACATATCATACATTATTGTAATACTGTACTTGGAAAAGAAGAGTGGGTAGTGGAAGGTGGGCTGATGACTTAATAGTAACTGTATTATTCGCTGCATTAAAATAGAATGTGAATTAGGAAACCTGCCCTGCGATTCTGTAACTCACTTTTCGAACTCACTCAGCGGTTTTCGCATCGGCGGTCGCTCTGAAATCAGTCGTGAAGCAGTCATTGTATGATTTCGCATTCTAATAAACAATAAACTATAAGCTTCCACCTTTTCAGAATGCCAAATCATAAAATGACTGCTTCACGACTGATTTGAGAGCGACCGGCGATCCGAAAACCGCTGTGTGAGTTCGAAAAGTGAGTTACAGAATCGCAGGGCAGGGCGAGAGTTTAGTTTAGCTGCTAAAGTAATTTGACCCCGTTCCAAAACTGACTCTTACAAATATGGTTTATCAGTTAATTACATTTTATAGACTAATTAGTCGCGCGTATATGGGATTAGAGCTTGTTAAAATATTTGTAGAATATAGACATTATAATCAGAAGCATTTTAAATATATTTTATAAAAATGTAAACTACTAGAGTGAATACCAAGATTTGTTCATGATTGACATAGCATATTTATAGAGTGACTTCAAATTTAAAACAACAAGCTAGCTAGTAATGTTTGGAGATTATTGGACCCCCCATGTAACGCGCCGTAACGTTTTTCTGTACCCAATAGTAAAACGTTTCGTGACCATCCAGTGACTCTTTATAGCTAATAGTTACCATTATGTGGTGTAAATTACTTGAAAGTCGAATATAATATTAACAATAACGCGTAATTCAATCCCCGCCCCGCGTCGTAACGTTTTAGAAAAGGACCCCCCAATAAATTCGTTACGTAATACTAATACGCTCTACGCCTAATACTTGAACGCTCCCTAATGTACTACTTTTTAAATGTATTTAATATACAATATTTTAAGGAACCGAAATCAGCGTTGAGAAGAGTATAAATGTCAAAATGTAAACTTATTAACAAGCGGTATATTCTTGAAGCCTTGTTGTATGTCTAAAAAAATGTAAACGATTTTAAAACAAATGGTGACTTTCACCAGTACAATACGCGAAATAGAACTAATTTGAGTGTACGACCAACCAGGCTCCAAAAGATAAACCACTGCTTATATGGAAATTGTATTCGTTTTTACAACAAACTCCCAAGCGAAATTAGAGAATTATCACTGAATAAATTCAAAGCCCTCGTTAAACGGCAATTAATCAATAAAGCGTTTTATAAATTTGAGGAATACTTAAATGATCCTAATCCTTGGGATTGATTTGCTCCAGTTCAAACAATTTGTATGATACTTGGCGATTAAAAAGAGTGGCGGAAAGTTTCTTGCCAGTTCTTCTTACCCGCTCTACGCCCTTGACTTGCGAACTGGTAGTAAATGTAAATTTACAATTAATTTAACTTGACAATTCAAAAGTGTACTTGGTTACCCACTTGAATAAAGATATTTTGAGTTTGAGTTTATCAGCTGAACAGTTTTACTTGCGACGCTAAGATAAGTGATTAAGTCTTAAGTGATTTATGTGATGTCAGAGTCAATTATTGTAATATTAAAAACGTCAGGCCGTGGAAGGCCAGGACCAGGTCGTACTAGAGAAGGGACAGATCAAAAGTCAAAAAACCGACGAGCATGAATCATAAGAGATAATGGGAAAGAGATGGAAGAGAGGTATGCCAGATGTATGCAAGTGGAGTGGTATTTGCCTGTCTTTAGGAAAAAGGCGGGAATGTATTTATTTATAATAATAATAATTTATTGCATTTATGGTACAAAAATATGTAAGGTGGTACAATCGTCAGTTCGCATATTCTGCCACACACAATGGCGCGCAAAGTCTTTAAAGGAATTTAACATTTTACATTATTAGTCAAAGTCAATTCTTATATTATTTGTATAGTACATATCATAATAAACTTTATTAAATTTATATCAACAGTATCTCACGCAAATAATCATTTATTGAATAATACATCAAAAGTAATACACCAAGTCCATTTTTGAAAACTCTAGTCGGAAGATCTTTTAATTCTTTTGGTAAATTATTGTAAACCTTGATTGCTATACAAAAGGTGTTTTCCTAAATTTCCAGATTTATTTTTATTTTTTTGCATAGTAAATCTAATATAAGATTTTATTTACACAAATACAGTATTTACAATTTTCTTAACCTATAAAGTAATAATAAAAATAATTAAAGAAGAAAGAAGAAAATCAAAACAAATTTAAAAAGTTTGGTCCCTGTGGCAGTGTACCTTTAACGCTGGAGCATTTCCTCGCTGTATTGTGGGAGACTTATTCTTTGAGCCAGGAAAGTGCCAGCTCTGTGGTCACCGGTACTATCTACCAGGCGCCAACTTAAATCTTTAATAAGCGCCTGTGCACTTGAGCCCACGGCCCAAGAGTCTCTACTCCAAAGGGAACAAAATTGAAGTTGGAGGAAAGACTCTTATATTTGTGCCGTTTGCTAATTTCTGCCTGTTCTGGGCCGCGCCAGGGTTTTTTGCTTGTCCGAAGGAGATGAGAGCGGGGGCAGGAAGGTGTCTACACAGGTAGCATCCCAATTTCCAGATTGATTTTTGTCACAAGAAAAATAAAATACAATTTTAAATGTGACAGGCACTTAACACACGAAGAGATAATACAAAAATTTAACAAAATAATAAAAACTAAACAAAAATCGATTTCATAGTGTGAAAGGAGCAACTATGGATATCCCAGACCCAGCTCGATTAGATAGATTAAAATCGTCAATTTAACTGTTTCTTAGAGACTGCCGTGTCTGATGATTTCAGGGGGCGTTGATCTCTTTGAGAAAATTGATAAAGAAAATGGAAAAATGAAATGTCATCTCCTTTTCAAGTTTATCGACATGTCGGAAATTATTCATGACTTTGCGTCACACGCCGGATGTAGGTTTTACGTGTGATAAGGCAGATTATACACTAAAAGTATTTTTACAACTGCAAGAAGGAAAAAAAAGTGCGTTCGTACAAAGTACATATGTCAGAAGTGAAACTTCTTTGGCAAACTAATTTTGTAACTCTTGTTCATATTTTTGAAGTCCACAAAGCAATACGATTAAATTGAGAC